ACCAGAAAAATAATTTGAAACAACAAAAATAGTAATAGAAAGAGCCTAAGATCTTACTTCAAAAACTGACCTAGTCAATAGCATGATACAATATTTTAGGGGGAAAAACACTATGTCACTTTGACCATAAATTTTCCCATGTATAGAACAAAATCTATAACCTGCCAACAACAATACCACTGGTAAGAAGCCAAGTGAGTTAATGTGTAAGAAATGTCATCCTAAAACAGGAGAACCGACTCAGACGACGCAGTGAAGTCTGCGTACCCACCCCTGACATTACTAAGCAGCTCACTGGAGGACAGAGCTCAGCAGAGAGCTGCAGACCATGTCGACAGAGGAAAGGGGTTTCTTATGTCTGTTTCTCCACTGCACTGCCATATCCGCTGACACATCTGCGGCAGCACTCCCTCGGGGCTCAGTAGGGGAACTAAGAACATCTGCCTCATCACAGGTTTCCATGAGCTGTGTTTGGCACCTTGAAATCAAGAGTCTTAAAGAGACACCAAAAAGACTTTTTTCCGCACATGCCAGTCAGAATGTATAGCAGTTACACATTTGCAGAGTTTGGCAGTTCTTGGAAAGATTAAATACAGAGTGACTTCCAGACGCACCGATTCTACTCCTACAAATATACTTGACGTATCTGCATGAACTTGCATGATAGTTATAAAACACTTCATAGCAGTCCACAGTATTGACAATCAAGTATCTACCAAGTGATGAACAAAGTGTGAAATGCACATACAACGACACTCACTGCTCAACAGGAACAGGCACACACGCTCCAGCGTGCTCCAGTTTCACATGTTGGAAATACGGTCTCCAGCGTGGCAATGTTTGCTTGCTTGTTTGTTTTTTCAGGGTCTTGTTGGTGGTGGTTTGGGGGTTTTGCTTTGGTTTTTATTTTGTTTTGTTTTTGTTGGAACTCGCTCTGTAGGCCAGGCTGGCCTCGAACCCACAGAAACCTGCCTGCTGGGTGGCAATGTTGAGGTTAAAGTGGTGAAACCATTATGAAATGGAGATTGGGAGGTGGAAAAATAGGTCGAGGGTCGAGAGCACTGGCTGCTCTTGCAGAGAACCAGGTTCAGTTCCACACCCCGCAGAGCAGCTCAAAACTCCCTCTGACTCTAGCTCCAGGGTCCCAAACCTCACCTGGCCTCCCCAGGTGTCCATGCACATAATGCACTTAAATACACACATGAAATAAAAATAGCCTTTTTAAATAGAAATGGAGAGCAGAGCACCACAAGCTCCCGGGAAAGGATGCTGCTGACCAGGAGGGGCTGGTTGTCACAGTGCATCCATAGTAACTAAGGACCACAAGTTCCCAGGAAAGGATGCTGCTGACCAGGAGGGTCTGGCTGTCACAGTGCATCCATAGTAACTAAGGACCACAAGCTCCCAGGAAAGGATGCTGCTGACCAGGAGGGGCTGGTTGTCACAGTGCATCCATAGTAACTAAGGACCACAAGTTCCCAGGAAAGGATGTTGCTGACCAGCAGGGGCTGTTTGTCACAGTGCATTGGAAGCATCCACATTTCCTCCCTGTGACACATCCAGGAGGGTCCTTGACAGAGGCACACAGGATATGGCCTCCATATTGAAACCTCTAGCCACCAAAATTGTGAGCAAAGTCAGTCTCTTCAAACTGCAATTAACCCAACCTTAGGTATTTTGTTACAGCAATATAAAATGGTTAAGTGGTGATTTATTCCGTAGTACATGTAAACCTTTAAAATGGTATGCTAAGAACTTAGTCACACACACAGAAAAGTGTTTTATAGGTTCTATTTATATGAATTGTCAAGAGTAGAAAAATTCAAACAGGCAAAAACTAGGTTACTTTCATGGTAAAAGAAATGTGTCTAAACTGCACAGTGGTGGTATACGCCTTTAATCTTTAATCCAGCACTCAGGAGGCAGAGGCAGGCGGATCTCTGTGAGTTCCAGACCAACCTTACAGAATGGGTTCCTGGACAGCCAGGACTACACAGAGAAACTCTGTCGGGTGGGGGGATCTTTCTATAAAAACAGAACAGAGGGAGCGGAAGGGAAGGAAGAAATTAAGGTAAAAGCCTCTCTGACATGAGGACAAGTATAGATGGGAATATGTCAGACAGTGGAGTTTCTTCCAGAACAAGTCCATGTCTATTCGTTTTTATTAAACTCAAGGGAAAGACTCAACTGGAGATATTAGTGATCAAAGAGGAGGAAAACACAGGGGCTGTGACTAAACAAAATAATGCACAATAAAACAGAAGAAAGGGTCAGAAGGGCAAAAAAATCTTTTGTTGTCGTTAGTAACTGTCAAGAATGACAATGAAGATCTCAGGCCCTGAAGACCATGGGAAGCGGCAGGCGATCAACCACAGCATAATCTATTGACAGTACTCGCACGCAAGAGCATAAAATGCTAAACTTAGCACCTTAAATACATACCTACTTTGGGGATCTTCACCGAGATAATTTGGTGGCACAACTGTATGAACAATACATGCAGATATCCACAGGTACACACAAGTAACATTATACAGACTGAGCAGGTGAGAGATATGTCTGCATAGACACATGCAGATATCCACAGGTACACACAAGTAACATTATACAGACTGAGCAGGTAAGAGATATGTCTGCATAGACACATGCAGGTAACCACACATACACACAAGTAACATTATACAGACTGAGCAGGTGAGAGATATGTCTGCATAGACACGTGCAGATATCCACATAACAACAACTAATAAAATTGTAAGAGAACAAGGAGGGCACACGGGAGAGTGGAGGGAGAGAAGGGAAGGAGGAAACATGTAATGGTATTATAGTCTCCAGAGTAAGAGAAATAATAAATTTAAACTGGCCTTGAAACAGAGTGAGATTACATGGACATGGAAGCTCATTGCACATGGTATCGGTGTATTCTACAAGGGTTGGAGTCCTGGAGTGCAATCCCCTCTGTGAGGCAGCGAGAGGGCAGAACCCTAACCAGGCCATGAAGTGATGCAGGCCCAGTATGATGTGCGTAGAAAAGACAACACCGTCAAGGTAGCCCCCGAGACTCAATGGCCATAAAAGAGAGAGGAGCCTGGCATAGCTGCACGTGTGCAATCCCGAGTGTGAGGCCAGCCAAGAAAGAGAGAACAAAAGACAATCGGCAGGCACCTACTGCCACGTGATGTCAGATACACCTAGCAAGTCAGAGTCCCCTATTCCAAATCCTCCTCACAGAAACCTAACTGGAAATGACTTTATACGAGAAAGCTTATGAAACTTTCTCTAAAACATATCACATTTAAGCCAAAAGAGCAAACACTGGCCAGCACAGAAGCACTAAATCACTAATCACTAAATCATTTACTGTAGCAAAATTGAATAAAATTATAAATAAATATCAAAAGAAACCAGAAAAGCACATGGAAACTGAAAATTTGATTTTGGAATGGCAAGTATGTCACTTAAGAAGATCACAGAGGGGAGCATGGCAGAGGGGACGGAAGTAAGAGAAAGAGGAGGGGAGTAGAGGAGGGGGAGAGATCATGAGGGATCAGGAAGCTTGAGTGGGGAGAGGAATGGAAGAGAGCAAGAAAAGAGACATCAATAGAGGGAGCCACCATAGGTTTAAAGAGAAATCTGGCACTAGGGAAATGTCCAGAGATCTACAAGAATGACCCCAACTAGGAATCTAAGCAACAGTGGAGATGCTACCTTGAATGCCCTTCCTCTGCAATGAGATTGATGACTACCTTAAATGCCATCCTAGAGCCTTCATCAAGTAGCTGGTGGAAGCAGAAGCAGAGATCCACAGCTAAGCAACGAGTCAAACTCCTGAAATCCAGCTTCAGAGAGGGAGAAGTGACTAACAAAGGGGTCAAGACCACGCTGGAAAAACCCACAGAAACACAAGACCTGAGAAAGTGGGAACTCATGGACATCAGTCTGACAGCTGGGAAGCCAACATAGAACCAAACCAGGTCCCCTGAACTTGGGTGTCAGCTAGGAGCTCTGGGCAGTCTGTGGGACCTCTGGCAGTGGAACCAGGATGAATCCCTAGTGCACGAATGGACTTCGGGAGCCCATTTCCCATGGAAGGATACTCTCTTAGCCTAGATACACAAGGGAGGGCCTAGGCCCTGCCCCAAATGACTTGATAGATTTTGATGATCCCCCATGGAAGGCCTCAGCCTCCCTGAGTGGATGGGGGATGGGATGGGGGGTCGGTGGGGGACATGGGAGGATGGGAGGGAGAGGGAACTGAGATTGATATGTAAAATAAAATTGTTTCTAATTCAAATGAAATTTATATTAAAAAAAGATCACAGAGGAAACAAAAAATTCTTAGAATCAAAGAAAATACAACATAAATACCAACGATGGTTCTCGAAGAGAACCTTATAAATATGAATGACTATACCTAAATAGAACTCAACTAAATAGTACCAACATGTAACTACGGTCTTAGAAACACAAAAACAGGTAAGACTCAAAACTTAGAAGTAATAAATAGCAAAAATTAATTAGTTTTAAAAAATCATGAAACAAAGAGGTAGCTCTTCAAAATGATACACATGATTGGCAGCTCTTAGCCAAACTAACAAAATGAAATAAACACGAATGTTAGGCAGGGAGAAGGGTACGTTACAACAGATACAAACGGGATGTAAAGGATCACTGAAGACTCCTTTAAAATCTCACATTTCAATAGACCAGACACTCCAAAAGGACAAATATGGATAACTCTCTAGACATATATGACCTAGCAAATAAGCAGAGACAAACAAGCATTCATGTACACTGTGGAACATTACCACAATTGCCAGTTTAGGAAGCCAGTCTATACGCCATGAGTGCTCTGAGAAAATGTGGCACAGGTATCAATCAGGTAAATAACTACCTTCATAGAAACATGCCTTAAGTTGAGCATGCAGGACACAGGGATTTGGATGTTAGTCACCTCTAAGGCAGACTGCCCCTCTGAGGAAAAGCCAGTGTGCTCCTACCTTGAGTTTGGAAGGCTTCGCTCATCAAAGTTTCATTCACTGTCGAAGAGGCGGCATTTCCAATATGAGACCAACTCTGATATATTGCTTGCAGCAAAACTGTCTGTGCTCTTGTGGCTTGAATTGTGAGGTTTGGGAGTTCAAAGATGCCTTCAGTTACAACGGTCTGAGATCTTTTGGTCCTGTACATCAAAGTAGAAAGAAAAAAAGGACAAGAATATGCGGAAAGTGTTTACATACAATGTAGTAGAGAAACTATGCTACAAAGAGGCCGAAAGTACACATTTAAAATTGTTTGTGTATGGCATGCATGTGTGTACATACATCCGTGTATATGTTCATGTATGTTTATACATGTGTACCTGTGTGTGGACAGTGAAGCCAGGAGCCACTGTCAGGTGACTTCCTCAGTCGCTCTACACCTCATTTTCTGGGATGGCCTCTCACATAACCTGAAACTCACCCACTGGCTGGAGCCTAGGAGCCTCCTATCACAGACCCTCCCTTCCCCTCCCCCATCGCAGTGCCGTCAGTGAAGCTGCTGTTACAGAGATGCATCACCACATCCAAACCATGCTGACTGAGTCATATCCCCACACTCCTAAATGCCTCGTGTGTGCATGTGTGTGCGTGTGCAATTTTGAAAATTTCTGAAATCAGAGGGGGATGGTAATTGTCACATTATAAAAACATTAAAAAGCAATTATTTATATACTGTGAAATACTAAAATGATAAATTTTGCCTAAAAGGAAGGAGAGAAATCCCCTATGGCATTCCAGACACATGGCTTCGAGTGGCCAGTGGCCCCCTCAGAAAGACAGAGTCAAAACAGTGATGGGACTAGGATGGCCTACTCTTCACTAGCACGCCGGGTATTAAAACACACACAGATTACACATTAAGATAGCCACTGCAAGTTTCCACAACTTTCCAACATTCATTACCATCAAAGAACTCTACCTGAATCTACCCTTCAATCCACAGTCTTGATCATGCTTTGCCACGAAAACCAAGGCATGCTGGGCGATGGTGACACACACCTTTAACCCCAGCAGAGGTAGGCAATCTCTGTGAGTTCAAGGTCAGCCTGGTTTACAGAGCAAGTTCAAGGACAGCCAGGGCAAGACAGAGAAACCCTGTGTCAGGCAATAAAATGAATGAACTAAAAAAATAAATGTCCACTGAATACAAGATTCTTTACACCAAGTAAGCAGAACTTTGGCCATCAAACAGAATTCACAAAACAGTATTTAATTCTAATGGGGACACTTTTCTAAATTGTTTTTTCATTCCGTCAGAGTTTCAAAATGGATAACTGCTTCTCTCTATACTTTCTCAAATTTCCATGTGGATTCCTGGGCGAATAAAAATTCCCTTATTACTAACACTAAAAAAGAACACAAAAACTGGGTTTAAGAAAATGCATCACAAACTTAGACAATGCTGTGATGAGATGAAAGCTCATTGCCTTTACTTCAGATTTATAATCAAAGAAAATACACTTTGCACAGGTCATTTTGACATTGTAAACAAGGTAATTTTGCAATATACACTGGAGATTATGAAGGTTTTCTTTTATACCAATTACAAACAAAGGTATAGTGTGCTACATCCCTTTTAAATTAATTTTTAAACGAAGCAAGCTTAAAATTATTTGGCAACGATTAGTAGCTGATACAATGTACCTACTATTGGTATAACAGTATCAATGGGGAAGGTTTTTCAATTTTGTTTGTCCAATTTAAATTATATGACACAGGCTAGCAAAGGAGGAAAAGTAACAAATGTTACCCAGTTCACCAAATCTTCCTGCTAGACTATCTTTGCTTCAAAAAATATTTAAAGATCAATAGATTTTACAACTTAAAACCACTTGCAGAACTCTTTAAAATGTCAGTGAAAAATATAATAAAAGTGTGACTTTTCCTTGTGATTTATACCACTACATATTTATTTAAAACAAAACAGCTCAATATAAAATCAAACAAAAGCACCTAACAAGTGCTATTCTTGGCTAAAAATATTACCAAGCTGCATTTTTATAGTTATGTTGGTTAATATAAAGTCATTTATTTGGCAAATGTGTAGTGTTCATATTCAGAAATCTTGGTCTGAATATACTTTCATTTTACAGAATAGATTTTAAAACTATCAATTCAAACATTCCCCTCTAGGGAAAAATAAATCCTAGTGGAACTAGTGGGATAAACAACTCATTAAAACTCAACTTGGACAAATTCCAGGATAAATTGAAGGAAATAGAAACAAGTAGATCTTAATTGCATAGTAGCACATACTTTAAATGAATATCCCCAAATTATAATTTAAAAGACTGTGATCCGCTATTTCCTCGAAAATTATAATACCAAGGCAATCAAATTTCTGTGCCAATGTAATTTCTATTTTTAAAATTCTTGCTTTCAGTACATAAATTGAAAATTCAGAAGTGTGGGTCTTTCTACTGGATGCAAAGAAATGAAACAATCCATTCATTTTCCCACAAATACCATAAAATGCCTGCCATATGCACACTTCGGGCACAATCACCAATTCTCTTCAAGACACACTCCATAGCAATTGAAAAAATATTTGAGCAACAGCTGGATATAGAGATTCATACAGAGTTTCCAAATGCAAAGTCTGAAAACACAGAGTGGGTCCCAGAATTTATTTTTGTTATTGCTCATATCCTGTACAATAAAATAGGATTAAGTCATTTTTTTCCAAAATAAAGTTAATACAAAATCTCACTAACTTATGAGACCAGTTAAAACACGAAAAACTGTGTTTGACCTAACACTTCATATTCAAAGTAAAAGCCTGTAAGCTCTTTTTAAAAATTAAATGATAGGTTAGACGAAAGTGTCTGCTGCCTCCTTCCAGCCCCGGGTAACCACTTCCCAAACTGAACAGAGACGCAGACGTCCACGCATCCACCTTGTGCACTGGGAAGACAACAGCTGTTCAGGAGATGGATGAGCGTGTGCCAGCCTGCTTCCCCTGACTAAACTACTTCAGAGTCTACGCATGCTGTTCGCAGCGGACCCATCGATGCCACAGGGTGCTGCACTGCAGGTCAGGTCCCTGGGCGGTGCACCTCAGCCTGCAGCCCTCATCACCCCGGGGGCTAGCTAGGGCACTGCAGACATGACATCCCGTCGGGTAAGACACGAAAGCATCTTATAAGCTGCATGTGGCCCACACCTTCAGTCCCAGCACTCAGAGGCAGAAGCAGATGGATCTATGAGTGCAAGGCCAGCCTGGCCTACATAATGAATTCAAGAACTGCCAGAGATACAGAAAAAAGAAAAGACTATCAGTGGAAAGGGAATTACTGGGTCAGAAGGATACAAATGAAGCAAAGAACAAAGAAATTCAGAAGACTGAAGGAGGGGAAGATGATCAACTCATGGAATTGGGAATCTGTCATCAAGTACTCCTGAGCAAATTGGGAGCAGGGGGGAAGGGGTGAGGTAGAGGAAAGAGAAGGGGAGAAGAGGAGGGGGAGGAGAACATGAGGGATCAGGAAGCTTGAGTGGGGAGAGGAATGGAGGAGAGCAAGAAAAAAGATGTCAATAGAGGGAGCCACTATAGGTTTAAAGAGAAATCTGGCACTAGGGAATTGTCCAGAGATCCACAAGGATGACCCCAACTAGGAATCTAAGCAACAGTGGAGATGCTACCTTAAATGCCCTTCCCCTACAATGAGATTGATGACTACCTTAAATGCCATCCTAGAGCCTTCATCCAGTAGCTGATGGAAGCAGAAGCTGAGATCCACAGCTAAGCACTGAGCCAAACTCCTGGAATCCAGTTGTAGAGAGGGAAAAGTGATCAAGACCATTCTGGGGAAACCCACAGCAACAGCTGACCTGACCTAGTGAGAGCACAGGGACCCCAGTAGTAAAGCTGGGGAACCAGCATTGGACTGAACCAAGCCCTCTGAATATGGGTGCCAGCAAGAGGCCTGAGCAGTCTATAGGACCTCTAACAGTGGAACCAGTGTTTATCCCTAGTGCACAAATGGACTTTGGGAGCCCATTCTTTATGGAAGGAGGCTATTTCAGCCCAGATACACAGAGGAGGGCCTAGGCCCTCCCCCAAATGATGTGACCAACTTTGATGATTCCCCCATGGAAGGCCTCACTATCCTTGGGGAGTGGGTGGTGGTGGGTTGGGAAGTCAATGGGGGGCATAGGAGGATGGGAGAGAGGGGGAAGGGGGAACTCATGTAAAAGAAGATTGTTTCTAAATAAAAAGTTATTAAAAAAAAAGAAACCTGTCATTAGGAAAACTTATTTTGATAATATATGCTAGGAAAGTTATATTTTGAAAACTATTACATTGTATATTCAATAAAAATAAATTTAAAAGATTCATAATAGGCTTTACTTTAAGATAATATTAATGTAGACAAACATCACTATAAAATGTATAAACTGCCTGTGCAAATAAAAGTGTAAGTCAACTACTTATTTTTTTAATAATGTGTAAGGGGACAGTGTAAAACAAATATGTTTTTGTCATGGACAAGGGACAAGGCCAGAGCTTTCTCTTGTAATGCATTTATACTTGCTATTATGAATTCATTTTTTTAAAACCCAAAAGTTCATCTACTGGTGAAATGAGAAACAAAATGAGATCTAATCCACATACACAATGCTCCTTAAATAAAGTTTAAAGGAAGGACCTGGACAGACATCTTAGCAGTTAGGAGCACTGGCTAGTAATAAAGTCTAAAGTGGGGACCCTGGACAGATGTCTTGCAGGTAAGAGCACTAGCTGGTCCTCAAGAGAACCTGAGTTCTGTTCTTAGCACTCACACAGTGGTGAATCCCCAGATGCTGTACCCCAACAAGGCTAAAACACTGTGAGGATCCAACACCCCCAAAGAAATGGCTGCGCCTCAAATAACAGTTATATGTGCTCAACCCTCAAAACATGTTACGAGTATCTTAGTAAATAAAACTCACGCTTTACCTAGGCATGGTGGCTCATGCTTGTAATCCCAGAACTCAGGAGACAGAGTCAAGAGGATCGCTCTCAGTTCCAGATTAGCCTGGGCTACAGACTCCAACCCTATCTCAAAAACAAAAATGAACAAACAACATTTTTAAACAAGTACTGGAGGAAAGTGAACTGAAAGTATATTATAAGTTTTAAGACCTCATCAAAAATAAATAGGGCCAATAAATGTATGATTAACTAGTTTGACTACCTCTACCTACTGTTGATATTAAAAAGTGTGTACATTTGTATTCATGCACAAATCAAAGGCCAAAATGACTTTCCAAGTCTGGCCCACGGTGGACTCTTTCCCTCGGTCATGTGAAGGTCAGAACCGCTTCTCCTAAGCTGTCCCTGGTAACTCAGTCATGTTCTCCTTTCATAAACACACAGAACAGGGTACTTAATACTCACTGTTTAAATTTAACGGTGACTGTTTTTAGTGTCGTCTCCACTATCACTTATTTTCTATGGAAACATGACATGTCAAGCTGTCTGCATTCTACTACTTTTTGCCCTAACTCACATATAGCACAGTGCCCTATTGCATCATGGCTAATTGAACAATATTTACAAGATGGCATCACTTAGACTTCTTAAGAAGAGAGGGCCGGGCATTGGTGGGGTACGCCTTTAATCCCAGCACTCAGGAGGCAGAGACAGGCGGGTCTCTGTGAGTTAGAGGCCAGCTTGGTCTACAGAGCGAATTCCAGGACAGCCTCCAAAACAATACAGAGAAACCCTGTCTCGAAAAAAAACAAGAAGAAGGAGGAGGAGGAGGAGGAGGAGGAGGAGGAGGAGGAGGAGGAGGAGGAGGAGGAGGAGGAGGAGGAGGAGGAGGAGGAGGAGGAGGAGGAGGAGGAGGAGGAGGAGGAGGAGGAGGAGGAGGAGGAGGAGGAGGAGGAGGAGGAGGAGGAGGAGGAAGAAGGAAGAAGGAAGAAGGAAGAAGGAAGAAGGAAGAAGGAGAAGGAGAAGGAGAAGAAGGAGAAGGAGAAGGAGAAGGAGAAGGAAGAAGAAGGAGGAGGAGGAGGAGGAGGAGGAGGAGGAGGAAGGAGGAGGAGGAGGAGGAGGAGGAGGAGGAGGAGGAGGAGGAGGAGGAGAAGGAGAAGGAGAAGGAGGAGGAGAAGGAGAAGGAAGAAGAAGAAGGAGAAGGAGAAGGAGAAGAAGAAGGAGAAGGAGAGGTAAAGGCAAAGGAATAAAAAATTTACTACAAATGATTAAAATTTCAGATCAAGAAACTAAATATTTCATTGTGGTTTTTAGAGTAAATAAATAACATAATTAAGATAACAGTTTTCTGAAGCACTTAGTAAAATTGATACCAATAATTGATACTACAAAGAATCCTATGGCTGGCCCTTTTTTTTCCTCTTCTTTTCTTTCCTTTTCTTTTCTTTCTTGAAGCAGGGTCTCACTGTTCACTATGCAGTTCAGGAGTCCTAGGATCTCACTGTGTAGACCAGGCTGTCCTAGGATCTCACTATGTAGACCAGGCTAGTTTCAAATCCACAAAGACGCACCTGCCTCTCTCTGTCTGAGTGCTGGGATTAAAAGCATGCAACTACCATACCCAGCCACTATGTCTTAACAGATCAAAATATAAACTACATTAGACTCAAATGGAATACGCCATGCATATAAAGTTAAATCCATCTATGCATAGCATAATAAACGACATATGAGGAAAATTTCGTTTACTAAGAGAAACCTACCAAGAGACATTAGGAGTAACTTTAGAATGGTTCTATCCCACAGGACTCATTCCAAGAGTCAATTATAATATGTCCTTTTGTAAACTCTCTGGATTAATGGGCAAATTTCTTTGAAAAGGCAAACAATTACCTTACTAATTTCACTTTCAAATTGTACAGTATTAAAGGAACACAGTATTTTAGAAAAAGATATCCATGGTGACAGATCAGTACAGAGTTGCAACCCAGGGCCATGCCTGAGTTAGTGACCCTACTGCTGCCAGAGTGTGGGAAGATGTCTGTGTTGCCACCTGTCCTGGGTGACCTAGGAAACTGCCCTCCCCTGTGGAAAAACTAGCCCTGCAGCAGGACGTAGCCCCACCCCTCGTCACCCCTGCTTGGGGAAGAGCTGGCTCCTACAGGATAAATGAGGGGGCTGGTCCCGCTGGAGGCCCAGACTGACCAACTCTGCTACCACCAAGGACCGCATCCTGTGCTTTGGGTTGACCCATCCCAACATCTGCCCCATCCATGACCTGCTGGAGGACATGAAGGGACTGGCCCTGTGGAACCCTAGCCACAGGATGGATCTCCATGACTCAGGGCAGCAGCAGGATCTGAGAGGACTTTTGGTGAGGGCTCAGCACTGATGATGTACCGGCCAGAGGCTTGAGACAGACCAACAACCCATTGCAGAACGAACGTTTGCAAGTGAGGCTGTGTGAGCAGAAGGTTATACTGCATGGTGCACAGCAGCCCCCAATACCACTATGACAAGTGAAAATGTGATGGAGAGGCAGGAGGAAAAACCAAACATGTTCTTTTAATTTTTTTTTTATTTCTTTTGTGGAGAGACATACAAAGGTAGACATGGAAGGACTGGAAATCAGTGGGACTGGATTACAGAATCAATTAAAAATTATGTGAATAAAAAAAATGGAGGGTTTCTTATCTTAGGTTGTAAGCAGACTTTTCTTTCTGGCCACCCAGTTTCAAAATAATCACAAGGAAACTTCTTATTATAAATGTTTGTCCAATAGCTCAGGCTTATTACTAACTAGCTCTTACAACTTAACTCATTTCTATTAATCTACATACTGCCACAAGGCTCAAGGCTTTGCCTTTCCTCCAGCATTTCTCTTTCCTTCTGTGTCCCCTGGCAACTCTCCCTTCTTCGCAGCATCCTTTGGGTCTGGAAATCCTGCCTAGCTCTTGGCCATTCAGCTTTTTTTATTAAAGCAATTAGGGTAACACTTCTTCACAGTGTACAAAAAGATTATTCCACAACATCAGGCCTCAATAAAAATATAATTTCAATTGTTTTCTAAAGTCTTATATAAAACTAACAACGTGAGCATACGAGACATGTTTGGATTTTTTTCCATTTCAGAAACTATAAAAATTAACATGAATCACAGTTTAGCAGGTACTCACCAGAGAGCGGGGAGTTTCAGAAGTTTCCCATACAGGGCCGTGCTGAAAGAGGGAATAATTGGTACAGGCGAGCAGTAAGACCCACCGTGACTCAAAGATGTCAGCCCTGCCTGGAAACCGAACACCTGAAACAACAGAGCCCAATCCAACGTTCAGAGTTGAGTAAGTGCGGGTGAGACATCAGCACCAACAGCCCAACAGCTAGCTGCACAATAAATGTGTTAGTGTGTCTGTGCTACTTCCCAAATGCAGCTCCTAGCAAACGTGCGCCTCTGTTTGAGATGCTGTGACAACAGTTAAGCTTCAATGCTTCACCCTTGCAATGAATCTGAAGAGGCACAAACTATTGTCTTTACTGCTGTCTCTTTCTACAGCATACATGCATAACTGAGGGTTCTCGAGCGCTAGGCCATCAGCTGAGGGTGGGGCTCTATTCGGGAAACGCTCTCATCTCTCTCGTGAAGTCCATCACATGAAACCCACTGCTCTTCTGGCACAAAACTAGGCTGTTGGGGTGACTCATCAGATTACAGGTGTTGCCACCAAGCTAAGGAGCTGCACTCAGCATCTGAAACCCACCCCGTAGTGGGGGTATTTTCACACGAGCTGTCCTCTCCCCACCATCTACGGGCCAAGCTTGGAAGCAAGCACCTTTACCCGGTGAACCATCTCGCCGACCCTGTGGGCAACTGAGAAATGCTTCTTCAGTCTGAGGGGAAAGGAATGGAGAGACGGTTTGCCTTCCAAGTGTAAGACCTGACTGTGCCTGGCACGCAAGGATGAAAGCCAGCCACGGCGACACAGGCCGGTAGACTCAGCCGGGGGTTCGCCTGCAGCCAGTGCATGGACTGCAAGCACAGTGCAGACCCTCTGTCAAGAAATCACTGCACAGTGATAGAAGAAGGCATCTGATGCCAACTCCAATGTCAGAGCCACGGGGACAAGGGTGTGCACTCACACGTGTGTGTGCACGCATGCCTGTACAGACTCACCAACCAAACATTTCCTTTATAACAAGAAATTCATGTGAGTCCAACAAGGAGAAACTGACTAAAAATAAGTATGTTAAAGCACTATGAAGCGCTATGCCTATAGTAATTTCCTTATCAAGTATGCCATTTGATTTTAAACATACCCATAGTAAACATTTTTAAATCTTCAAAATTAGGAAAGTCAAAATTGCCTTACAAGCATCAAACTACTAATTTCTAGGAATTCAAAAGGAGATTTTAAAATACAAACATTTTAAGTACACTGGAGTAGTGACTAAATCTCACTTGAAAATTACCTCATGAAATACTGAGTGTGTAAGACTGCAAATGTAAGAACCAAGACGCTCATCCGATACCCTAAGGGAGCAGATGATAACAGGCAGGAGTGGCCTCCTCCGTACCTTAAGGTAGCAGTGGACATAGCAGTGATGGAGCAGGCTATCAGAGGGCTGGGAGAGGCTGCTGGCCACATGCACCAGCCGCTCGGCGTACATCGGCACAGAGTGCTCCAGATTAATCTTATCCACCAGTATCTGGATGCACGGCAAAGGTCGAAGTGACTGGAAGTTTGCGGCATTCGTGAAGTTACTTGAGTTCTGGAAAGTAATGGTAATTACTTTAATTTTAGCAGAACAATGACTGGTCTACATAAATCTCTATCTAAGCAGACTTCAGACCCTCATATCTCTCTGGAAATGTCTTTGTTAGAACTCACACGAAACAACCAAATACAAATGTCTTCTAGAAATTTCAAGTATGCCTCAGCTTTTAAAGAATGCATTTTAGGTAAAATAATCCTTGCTCTTTTAGCTAACCATTTTTAGTTTCAATTAACAGGAAGGAGCATTTACCACTCCTTAATTCCTTAACCATGCTAAAACCTGAGAGGATCCGGCCAAGCATTGAAAAGGCACAATAAAGTATACAAGAAGCCAGACTATGATCTAAAACGTATGTTAAGACACAAAAGTCCTTTATCTCGAGGAGGTTCTGCCAGTGGCAGGGTTGCATGTACCTTCCTGAGCTCACACACTGGCACAGACAGGTTGAAAGATACCTAGAGAAAGTATCCTAATTGGTAAGTACGCCTACCTTTCCCACAACTAACTCTCAAAATGTCCTGGTTCTGGCTTTCAACAAAGAAAACCAAGACCTTCTTTGTCTTGAGACAATCTATTTACATACAAACTGTTTCTCTAACCCAAAAGTCAGTAATATTACAGAGAAACAATATGGCTAAAATTGACTGACTGAACATACTACTCTCACTGTTTTTTCATCACTAGTAATTGTAAAACTACTTTCAATTCAGCTACTGTTTTGCTTTCCATTCTAAATTATTTTGGATTCCTGTAAAAAAACAAACAAGCATTAAAATGAGCCACACCAATCTGAATTGTAAAGCACAATGATTCTGTATAACTAACTCTTTTTTTTTTTTTTTTTTGGTTTTTCGAGACAGGGTTTCCCTATGGCTTTGGAGGCTGTCCTGGAACTCGCTCGGTAGACCAGGCTGGTCTCTTGACCATTTGAAGAACTCCAGAGCCCAAATGATTCCCTTTCCAGGCAAGACAACACCACTGACGGAACCTAACGTTCTCACTAAATCACTCTACTTCAGTGTTGTCTCCTTCTGAACTTCACATGATGGAATCCTACAGAACACCCCCTTTGACTAAGCATCTGTGGGGACTGTGTATGTTCCTTGTTCTTTAAACACACATGAGTGACATTCTGGATGGCTCTCTTTATTTCTGGTAATATTCTTTTTTTAAACAGTGTCTCTCTACGTAGTCCATGAACTTGCAATGCACATCAGGCTGGTCTACCTGCCTGCCTCTGCCTTCCAAGAGCTGGGATTAAAGGCATGCAGCCAGTATGCAGAGCTCAGTTTCTGGTAATACTCTTTACCTTGAAGTTTTCCCTTGATACTACTAAGATCCATATTCAAAAATCGCAATATCTTAATAAACTCTAGAGTTTACTGGCAAATGTTGTGCTCAATGTTTTCTTGGCATCTCCTTCATCTTGAATTACACTTCTCTGAGGTAGCCAGTTCTAGATCCCCCAACTCTCTGGCTATCCACTCCTCTTCCTTCCTGCTTGTGTGGTTTCTTAGAGTAAACTGGTTGTGTACTCAACCTCTGTTCCTCTGGGGAACTTCTGCTTTAAGGTTGTTTTAGGGTTGTTCACGTGTCTGAGTGTCTCCCCTGCACATCTATCGGTGTGTGGGTGCGTGGTGTGTGGGTGCGTGGTGTGTGGGCACGTGGTGTGTGGGTGCGTGGTGTGTGTGGGCGTGGTGTGTGTGGGCGTGGTGTGTGGGTACGTGGTGTGTGTGAGCGTGGTGTGTGGGTGCGTGGTGTGTGTGGGCGTGGTGTGTGGGTGCGTGGTGTGTGGGTGCGTGGTGTGTGGGTGCGTGGTGTGTGTGGGCGTGGTGTGTGGGTGCGTGGTGTGTGGGTGCGTGGTGTGTGTGGGCGTGGTGTGTGTGGGTACGTGGTGTGTGTGAGCATGGTGTGTGGGTGCGTAGTGTGTGTGGGCGTGGTGTGTGGGTGCGTGGTGTGTGGGTGCGTGGTGTGTGTGGGCGTGGTGTGTGGGTGCATGGTGTGTGGGTGCGTGGTGTGTGGGTGCGTGGTGTGTGTGGGCGTGGTGTGTGGGTGCGTGGTGTGTGGGTGCGTGGTGTGTGTGGGCGTGGTGTGTGTGGGTACGTGGTGTGTGGGTGCGTAGTGTGTGTGGGCGTGGTGTGTGGGTGCGTGGTGTGTGGGTGCGTGGTGTGTTGGTGCGTAGTGTGTGTGGGCGTGGTGTGTGGGTGCGTGGTGTGTGGGTGCGTGGTGTGTCGGTGCGTGGTGTGTCGGTGCGTGGTGTGTCGGTGCGTAGTGTGTGTGGGTGCGTAGTGTGTGTGGGTGCGTAGTGTGTATGGGTGCGTGGTGTGTGGGTGCGTGGTGTGTGGGTGCGTGGTGTGTGGGTGCGTGGTGTGTGGGTGCGTGGTGTGTGGGTGCGTGGTGTGTGTGAGCGTGGTGTGTGGGTGCGTGGTGTGTGGGTGCGTGGTGTGTGTGAGCGTGCCTGTGCCTGCAGAGGTCAGAAGAGGGTGCTGCACCTTTCGCTTACTGCTTTTCTCTGAGCCCTTGGAAGGACAGCAGTAAGGACAAACAGAAGTGTGTTAGTCCTACAACAGCCAGTTCCGGTCCTGAACAGGAACGAGATGATATATTTAGACTATTGGCTTCTCTCATTCAGGTAAAACATTAGGACTTTCTGAATACCACTCTTGGAGTGCAGCTGGGGGACCTATATAAAACTTAGCTGCAGTGTTGGACAAATATACATGCTTTTTCACACATGCTCGAAGTGCTGTCATGAGGGAAAGAAGTTAACGGCAATCTTAATTTTGCCCTTGTTGTGTAAATAAAGAAAGGATAAGTGACTTGAAGACACAGCAGGTAAGGGAACTTGCCTCTAAACCTAAAGTCAAGAGGTCAATCCCTAGGACAGCATGGTAGGAAGAAAAAACTGACTCTGACAGATTGTCCTCTGACCTCCAAAAGTATGTTACGGCATATAGAGCACACACACGCACACATACAAAGACAGAGAAAAAGAGAGAAAATACAATATTTTTTTAAAAAATTAATTCATCAGAGTTTTTTGATTTCTAAACCCAGATGAGAAAACCAAGAGTTCAAGTTGTGAAGCAACTGCCTGATGTGATACAGCAGCAATATGCTCCCATTTCTAGAAGCCACACTACTCAGCATTTCTTTACATAGCCTTAACTTAGACTTACTAAAAATAAATCAATGTCACTTTCTAAAAGTCAGCAATTACATAGTTACACTGAGTTTACTCCATCGGGAAAATGCATAAGCAGACACACTCTAACAACCAGGAAGACACACCCAGCAGAGAGAGACTTCCACACAACAAGTGTACCTTTCCTCCCATGATGACAGGCAGCAGGCGGTCCAGCAGATTGAACTCCGCCATGAAGACGGTGCAGGTACATCTGAGCAGAGTGACACTCGTGTGCCGGGTAGGAATGTACTCCTCCAAAGAAGCCAGTTCCTCGAGGCTCGGCATTGCTTCCCTCTCATCCTTACTCTCTAAGGAAAATGACGAAAGCCCAGTAGAGGATATGCTAGACAGGCTAATTTTCTTAACCAACTAAAAACTGAATCAGTTCCCCAGTTTTTAAGGGTAATTCTTCAACACGAAACAGTCAAAAAACAAGTCACTCAATTGTAATACAAATTACTGGATAATATAAAAGTGTAAGTCCTAGGTATACAGAAATCAAATGTTTTTCTGGTATAGCTTTGTAGGAACTCCTAATTTCTTTCTTTAAAATAATACCGATTTTCTGGACATTAAAATACCACTAAAATTAAAGGTATAAAGACAAGCCACAGACTAGAAAGAAAAATAAGGTTGTTGCAGACAGATACATGGATAAAGATATATACAGATAGAACAGAGGTCCCCACACAGACAGATTTATTTACGTGTGAGGGCTTTGCCTGCATGTGTGTCTGTGTAGCTCATATGGGCCTGGAGCCTACAGAGGCCACAAGAGGTTGTCAGCCCCCCTGGAACAGGAGTGACAGTGGTTATCAGCTGCCCAGCGGATGCTGGGACTAGCATTAGTTCTTCCTATGAAACAGAGGTAAATCCTCTTAACTCTGAGCAGTCTCTGCAGGCCCCAAGATGGATATTTGTTTAAAATTTAAAACCCCTTAAGATAATTACGAGGAAATGGGGTTGGGGTAACTTATCCATCTTACCCAAAATATGGCTTCTTCAAACAGCCAAACAGTATATAAAAAGCTGGATACCATTAGGTCTCATTTAACCACAAATGAAGTGACAGTATAATAGGAACACGCACTAGGATGGTTACAGCTTAAAATATGGAAATTACTGCATGCTGACAGGCATATAGGAGACAAGGTCAGCAACCTTTCCCTGTAGGGTCATGCTGCAAATAAACATTAAGCTTTGTGGGCCAAATCATGTCACAATCACTCAGCTATGCCACTTTAACACAAAAGCGGTCAAAGACAGTGGCCACAGGAGCCTCAACAAACCTGCGTTTGTGGGACTTGATGTTCAAAACACACATACACATTACAGACATTCACATTTAAATTTCATGTAAGTTTAATATGCACACAATGAAATTCTTTAGCTGTTTAAGATATAAAAACATTTCTGCCTGTGAACCATAAAAATTAGGTAGCAGGCTATATTCTGATTAAAAGCAACTGAAAATCCGTACTCTACTGATAGGAGTAAAACGGTTCAGCCACTCATAAATGCAGTTTGGAAGTATCTACTGAGAGTGAAAATGCACACTCTTTTAAGCTAGTGTTTGCTATGAAAACAGCAAAAGAACTAAAATTTAACCAAATATTGAGAGTAAAATGAGTAAGTAGATTATATCCACGCAAATTTCACAAGAGTAAATGCCATTTAATTCCATTTATAAGAATTCAAGACAAGCTTGGTGGTGAATGCCTTTGATTTCACCACTCATGAGGCAGAGGCAGATACATCTCTGTGAGTTCAAGGCCAGTCAGCTCTATATAGCAAGTCACAGGCTATCTAAGGCTAGACAAGGAGACTTTATTTCAAAAATAAAGCAACAGTAGAAAGAGGCAACTCTCAGAAGTTATAAGTAATGATACTGGTTATCCTTGAAGACAGAAAAATGAGCAATCAGAAGAAAGCACAATGAGGACTTCTAAACTGATGATGTTTTTGTTTTGGAAGCAGTTACTTAAACACATAGGGTTAAGACTACAAAGTTCATAGAATTGTACCCTTAGATTTTCACTTAAATATACAGTGATTGGGAAATTCAGAAAAAGAACACAGCAGCATTGTTAACAACTTAAGATTTAAAACATATGTAATCATATATATCTACAGGCGGATATGCAAGAAATTTGGCTAACCTAACATTCCTGGCTAGAATCCAAGCATGATTTAACAAGGTATGTTCACTCCAATTATATAAATTACAAACTTCTAGATCTTCAGTCTACAAATCATTAGGGAAGCAATAGGTGAGCATCATGACTGATCATCAATCCCATCTTTCTTTCTGTTGTATCCTGCTTGGGTACTTTTTAGTACTTCACGCCTGCTACCCAAGCTCAAGCTTAAGCTGCAGAGCATGCCCCACTGACCCAACGGTGCATTGTACTAGACTAGTCATTTCAGCAGAAGAGTGGGCATCAAAGACATAAGTACAGCAAAGACACAGAAACAGACAACACAGAAAGTAAAATTCTAATTGAATATAAACTATATGTTTGCATAATGTATACTTACATATTATGTATTTATATATTCACATTCAGTATACAATGATATGCATGATAGACTATCTTACCATCAGAATTCCAGCCTCTACATATGCAAGTCGAGGAACCGCAGATAATGGGGGAGAGGTGATAAAAGCAAAGCAAAGTATATCCCTAAAGAACCTCTCAGAGCTTTCCAAGATTTGAAGATGCAAATGAAATAAAAATCCTGAAATCTTGAACAAACAGAAAATGGAGTGCCAAGGAAACACTCCAGAGTGAAAACTACTCAAGAACAACACAGGAGCTGACCACACTCTGGGTTGTTTGTTTTGTTTTGGGGGGTAGGGATGTTTATTTGCTTACTTGATGGCTTGACATTTAAATGCTAAGTTTACTTTTTTATAATTGCTTTACTTTTTGTTCTCTACGCATGATAACAAATAGAGACAGAAGCTTTAATTTTTGACCACATCTATTTTCTCACTGATTACTAGCACCCTGGCTTTGCACGCCCGAGTTTGTTTGCTGATGTTCAGGTCTCATTATCTGGCCCAAGCTGACCGTGTACAATCATTCCCACCACCCAAGTACTAGGATTACAGGCATATGTACATACATCACATTTATCAGATAACAAACTAGTTCGAATTTTACATATATATTGTTAAGTATTCTGAATATATGTATGTGTATATGTACGTATATACGTGTACGTATATATATGTATATATGAGATAATTCTTCTATAGGGAAGTGTTGTGGAATATCCCTTTATACTGTGTGAATATGTGTCACTGTGATCAGTTTAATTTAAAAGCTAAACAGTTAATAGCTAGGCAGGATTTTCCGGGCAGAGAGAACGCTGGGAAGAAGAGGGGTGGAGTGCCAAGGGTTACATTATGAGAGCTGGCTAGTGGCAAGCCTGAACTCTCCTCTAAGCATTTTTAACTAATAAGTCTCTGTGTGATTATTTGGCATGGCTGGCGGGCCAGAAAAATCTGCCTTAAGATACTTGTGTGGTGGCGTGAAAGAAAACGTGCCCCAAAGGGAGTGGCACTATTAGGAGGTGTGGCTTTGTTGGAGTGGGTGTGGCCCTGTTGGAGGAGGTGTGTCACTGTGGGGGAGGGCTTTCAGGGACCCTTTGCCCAAGCTATGCTCAGTATAACAGACAGTCCACTTCCTGTTGCCGGTGGCTCAAGATGCAGAACTCTGATGATGGACTGAACCGCTGAACTGTGAGCCAGCCCCAATTAAATGTTTTCCTTTATAAGAGTTGCTGTGGTCATGGAGTCTCTTGACAGCAATAGAAACCCTAAGACTCCTTGCTTTGTTTTGTTTTGTTTTCATTTAGAAATAAGAACTCTTTGAATTTATGTCAAGTATATGGGCTTGGAAATCACCTTGCAGGTAAATAAGAGGACATGTCACACTTTAGGTAAATAAAAAATAAATCATGTCCTCAAAAGGAAACTCTGTATCTACTACTTTCACCTGCTTCCTGTGTTGATATTAAGATCACCAACTGGTAGTCACTATTCTATACTGACGTCAACTATATTTTCAGTTTGAAATTAAAAGGGAGAAAGCAATCGAGGAAGACACCGAGTATTGACCATGGACAAATGTCTCATCGCATGTCTATGGTCTAGAGGATCGAGGTCTGATGAGGTGCAACCAAGTACTTTCACCTTGATGCCTGACATTCCAGAGGATGGCATACAGCTTCCCACTCAGTCTATGACAGCAAAGCCAATTTCTGACAATACTTGTTTTCCAGGCAGAAGAAAAGGAAAGAAAAAGTAAAAAGGCACCTCCCATCCCAATCATACACCACAAAGAAGATGCATCGTCTTTGATTTTATTACAGAACTTTGTGTTATAAGAAAAGAATGCAGAAAAAATTACGTTTCACAATAATTTCTACTCAGTATATATATAGAGAGGAATGGAAATTTTTAAATGCTACTTAAAAGTGAGATCACAGACTGGAGATACGGCTCAGTAGTTGTAACATGTGCTGCTTTAGAACACAAAAGTCTGGTTCCCAGCTGTCAGAAGGCTCACAACCCCTGCAAATCCAGCTCCAGTACATTTGACCTCTTCTGGTGTCTGTGGGCACCTGTATACACATGACATACACTCATACAAACATACACACATACCCACAAATAAAAAGCTAAATGAAGGGGCTGGAGAGATGGCTCAGCTGTTACAGAGCACATGCTGCTCTTCCAGAGGACCCTAGTTCAATTCGTAACATCCACACAGCAGCTCACAGCTGTCCAGTTCCAAGGGAGACAACACTCTCACACAGACATACACATAGAAGGGGGAAGGAAAGAGGGAGGGAGGGAGGGAGGGAGGGAGGATGGAGTGGGAAGGGGAGGGGAAGGGGGAGAGGGAGGGGATAGGGGGAGGGGTTGGAAGATCAATGTACTTAAGAAAATTTTAAGCTGAGTGGTGGTGCACACCTTTAAATTCCAGTACTCGGAGGGCAGAGGCAGAAGAAGCTCTATGAGTTCAAGGTCAGCCTGGTCTACAGAGTGAGTTACAGGACAGCCAGGGCTGCACAGAGAAACCCTGTCCTGAAAAAAAAAAAAAAAACTTAAAAAAAAAAATATGCCAGGCGTTGGTGGCGCACGCCTTTAATCCCAGCACTTGGGAGGCAGAGGCAGGCAGATCTCTGTGAGTTCGAGGCCAGGCTGAACTGACAGCCTCCAAAACAGAGAAACCCTGTCTTGTAAAACCAAAAAAAAAAAAAAACATTTTAAATAAAAAAAGTGAGGGTTGAAGTTCAAGCTCTATTCTGACTCCATTGGTAAGTTCTTAACCAGTACACTATATTCTCTCCTTATTGTGTTGTTTTTCTAGAGTTGTTTTTATTGAATTGAAAGTAATTTATTTTAAAAAAATATAATAACTATCTTCATAGCATGTATTAAACTTTGTTGTATAGCAAACTCATTTTTATCAGTAGTTCCTTAAGTTTCCTGAGTGTTAAATCTGCATGTTCAGGTATTATTTCACAAATAATATATTTAAAAGACTATTAAAAGGCATGGCAACGGGAGCTGAGAGATGACTCAATGGATAAGAGTACTGGCTGCTTTTCCAAAGGACCCCTGTTCAATTCCCAGCACCTACATGTCAGCTTAAAACTGTCTGTAACTCCAGTTCCATGGAACCCGTCACCCTCACACAGACATACATGCAGGCAAAGCACCAATCAAAGCAATATAAAATAAATTTTTTAAAAGCATTCCAATGAAATGCTGACAGATATGGCATATCAAGTCCTTATGCCAAGAACTTCCAAATTTAATTTTTTAAAGATTTCCACAAACAAGTACACTCACTAATTTGATAGATGCACACAGGAAAGCCCATGCTAACAGGCAAATATATAATACAGATAAAGTAAATAACATAGAAAATCTGAGTTACACAGTCAGTGAACTATCTTGGCAGATAAGAACTAAGTCAAAAACAAACCTGGTTTTAGCCTGCTGTATGGTTCATATTCATGTTCCAAAGCACAGACAACCATCTTCAAAATCCGATGCACCGCACTACTGTCCAGTCGCAAATCCAGAGGACCTACCACAAGGCTTTTGGTAGACTTTTCTTGGGCTATTCCCAAATCCTCATTTTTCCCTGAAGGAAAGTCTTGCTGACTGGCTGGACCTAAAGAAGTCAACTTTGTATTAGTATTTTAAGCATCAATCAGACATAGAAATGAATACATAGATGCCATATTTAATTCTGACTAATAAAAACCACCCTTACAAAAACGCTGCTAAAAACAGGAGACAGAAATTTGCTGGCACATTCTTCTCTGTTTGTAAACAAAGGCCTTACCTGCAAGATCAGTCCTGAAAACAAACTGCCATCATTGACTGTCACCGCACCGCGGCTCCTTATTTACACTACTGTTCCTAACATGGTTTGCGATCATCATTTACTTAATGTCTATTTAAACCTGCGTTCCACACTGAAAGAACTTATCTCTATTTTTCTGCCCATAACAAACCTCTAATAAAAATATCTATACGTAGCCTTCAAAATGTGTTTAGTACAAAGAAGTATTTGCTTTTTCTGACATGCTAGTGTGAAGTGGAATTTTATATATACATTTTTTGCATGCAGTATGTACGAATACTATCTTAAAGGTATTTTCACACAGCTACACAAGAATTTTAAATGCCAAGATCTATTTGAACATTGTATTATAACACTAAAATTCTATTGCAACACTAAAATTAAACCCTTCCCCGTAAAATACCTGAGGATAAATGTAGCACAACAGAATGTAGTCTGCCAAGGGTCAACTAACTCTGAAATTGCCTTCATCTCCTGCTGCTCAAGGAGAGGGAAATGTGAAGCTGAGAGAAGCCATACCTTTGCCAGGGCTGCGCTCCATCGTGTACAGGTAATCCATGTAAAAGGCACCAAACCTTTGCATGCCAGCCATTTCAGTGTATGTCTCCTGCCAACAGAGAAACACAGACACGGCCCGGAGAGATCACCGTGTGAAAGCAGAGACATCCTGTTCACAACCCTATACACACTGCATCGGCCCAAAGGATTGCCAAAGCAAAGGAGAGGTTATCCAAAGAATCCACTCCTAAGCAAAGAAGTGTTCCTCTAAGGCCGACCTCACTAGAGGCCAGCCTTACTTCTACTAGACATCTGGAACACCGTCTAGTTAATGAATAGCTTTAATGAGTAGGTAGTATACACTCCTGACCTTTATCATTATCACAAAACTGTCCAATAATGTCTCCTTCAAATAAAGTCAGTCCACAATTACCTCAATATACTGACTTAAAGTACTTCAAACACTGAGGATACACAGAAATGTTCTAAATGTGTGTTCGTCACACCAGGAAACATTAAATTCTTTAGCTTTAACTATGAAAGCCAATCTCAATTTAAAAATTAAAATGTAAATTCTATGTTTATACTACATGAATACAAAGGTAATTTTGCTTTTATTTATCTTAAAAATGCACTAATATCCTATAAGCATATTTAGGAAAACTGAAAAAAGGCAAAAGTATGCAGTGAAAAGTAAGTTTGTTCTCTTCATCAATCTTACAGTTTAGAACCAACAAGAATTAATAAAGGTAATTCTATGTGATCCCTCTATAAGGAATTAACAGTAAAGTGTGCATAAACAAACATGGCTATACCACAAAACGCTGAACATCTCTCCACATCCCTTAAGCCTTTCTAGATCGAGAACCTAGACCAAAACATTCCAGATGTTGTGACAGACAACCAGTGCTTGGAAGAGACTGAGAAGCACAGCAACCAATCACAAGTACCCACACAATGTGTCCACCAGCCACAACAACAATCTGGCTCAATTATCTATTTCCTGACCTTGTGGTGAGCTGCATCCAAGATAAACTCTGCCCGGGTGCCATTGTTTTCTGGGCTTCGGTAATCAAACAGTGAATTTGTAAGGTATGTCAAACCTTTTGTACTCAAATTTTCACCACAAATGAAGAAGCAGGCTTCCTGAAAAAAATAACATATAAATATGAACTGGAGAAAAAGTCATTAGACCATGAAAGAACGCTGTATATACTACACTCATTTGGTACTCGACACAAATCACTAAAGTCTAATGTGTTATGAAAAGAAATGCTGTCTCATGTTTACTGCTTATTTTGACTAAGAACGTCTAATTAACCAAAAAGGAATTCCAAGCAACTGCCATAAACAACAAAGAAGCATTTATGAATGGAATATATTTGGAATGACTATCCAAGTGTTAAGTATTATCAACTTTTCATATCTCCAGAGACACATAATTTCTTGCACAGGAAATGCAGAGGGAACAGAAAAGCCCTCTTTCAAGCCACAGATGAAGGCAGCCAAGCACACGTGATGTGTCATAATACACTGCATCACTCTGTACTCTATCCAAGCTCACGTGACATGTCATAGTACACTGCATTTCCCTGCACTCTATCCAAGCACACGTGACGTGTCATGAGTACACTGCATTATTCTATACTCTATCCAAGCACACGTGACATGTCATGAGTACACTGCATTTCCCTGCACTCTATCCAAGCACACGTGACATGTCATGAGTACACTGCATTATTCTGCACTCTATCCAAACACACATGACATGTCATGAGTACACTGCATTACCCTGCACTCTATCCAAACACACATGACATGTCATGAGTACACTGCATTATTCTGCACTCTATCCAAGCACACGTGACGTGTCATGAATACACTGTATTATTCTGCACTCTATCCAAGCACACGTGACGTGTCATGAGTACACTGCATTACCCTGCACTCTACCCAAGCACACGTGACGTGTCATGAGTACACTGCATTTCCCTGCACTCTATCCAAGCACACGTGACGTGTCATGAGTACACTGCATTATTCTGCACTCTATCCAAGCACACGTGACGTGTCATGAATACACTGTGTTACCCTGCACTCTACCCAAGCACATGTGACGTGTCATGAATACACTGCATTATTCTGCACTCTATCCAAGCACACATGACATGTCATAGTACACTGCGTCACCCTGCACTCTATCCGAGCACACATCACGTGTCATGAATGTACTGCATTTCCCTGCACTCTATCCAAGCACACGTGACGTGTCATGAGTACACTGCATTATTCTATACTCTATCCAAGCACACGTGACATGTCATGAGTACACTGCATCACCCTGCACTCTATCCAAACACACATGACATGTCATGAGTACACTGCATTACCCTGCACTCTATCCAAGCACACGTGACGTGTCATGAGTACACTGCATTTCCCTGCACTCTATCCAAGCACACGTGACGTGTCATGAGTACACTGCATTATTCTGCACTCTATCCAAGCACACGTGACGTGTCATGAGTACACTGCATTTCCCTGCACTCTATCCAAGCACACGTGACGTGTCATGAGTACACTGCATCACCCTGCACTCTATCCAAACACACATGACATGTCATGAGTACACTGCATTACCCTGCACTCTATCCAAACACACGTGACATGTCATGAGTACACTGCATTATTCTGCACTCTATCCAAGCACACGTGACGTGTCATGAATACACTGTGTTACCCTGCACTCTACCCAAGCACATGTGACGTGTCATGAATACACTGCATTATTCTGCACTCTATCCAAGCACACATGACATGTCATAGTACACTGCGTCACCCTGCACTCTATCCGAGCACACATCACGTGTCATGAATGTACTGCATTTCCCTGCACTTTATCCAAGCACACGTGACGTGTCATGAGTACACTGCATCACCCTGCACTCTATCCAAACACACATGACATGTCATGAGTACACTGCATTACCCTGCACTCTATCCAAACACACATGACATGTCATGAGTACACTGCATTATTCTGCACTCTATCCAAGCACACGTGACGTGTCATGAATACACTGTATTATTCTGCACTCTATCCAAGCACACGTGACGTGTCATAGTACACTGTATTACCCTCTAAAATAAGGAAACCTTCACTTACAGTCTCACTTCTGTTCGTATGCTCTTCAAAATCTCTCACACCCATAATTCCTTTAAGACACATGGCTCTGCAGCCTACAAATCCAATCTGACAGTCGAAGAAAGGCTCTCCCATCATAAGGGCCTGTAAGGAAAGGGGACGTTAGGATTAAGAACGTGTGTCTAGTAAAGGCACTACAGCCTCTCCTTGTAGACTTTTCTGCATCAACAGCTAGGACTGCCGCCTTTCAAAGGCATTCGGAGATGGTCCACTACAACACAAACAACTTCCTGTCTCTGTCGTCGCAAACCTTTGTAGCCTCAGTGGCCGGCACTGTGAACAGGAATCCTCCCACACCCACACAGGCACACATTACACAACAAATTCATGTTGCATGTTAACGGAATCATGATTTCAACCAATAATACTGACTGAAAGAGAATGAGTGCAAGACTGTAAAGCCAAGTATTTAAATACACAGCTTTGACAAAAGCCCATGTTACCATGTTTAATGCTCAAAAGATTACCTCAATTGTAGTTCCTTCTTGTTCCCAACACAAAACTTCCTTAGATTTTACTTTCTGTGGGCTGTAATAGCTACTTTCAGGTTGCATTTCAGTGAGCTAAGAAATAGAAGAATATTTAGTAAATCAAAACTAGCCATAAATAGCAATGCACTGTCATTTTCATTATGCATCATGAAAATAAGGCCAATTTTAAGATACAGGAAATTTAATTATTAAGCAGAAAAACAGGTGCAAAAGAAAAAAAACAGCTGTTACAAATTATCCATGGACTAAAGAATAGTCAAACATGCTAGTCTAAACATAAAAGCAACATTTTTAACTCCTTCATAGCACTTTAAAAAGAAAAAGCTACATATACTCACAGTCCCGCTCATAAAATGGCTCAAATACTCAACCTATGACTTTAATTTGCTTCATTCATATATGATATATATTATATATACTATGGCTTTAATTCATGTCATTCATATTTTCAAGTATGTTTCAGTTCAATCATTTCCAAGATTCATTGATATTTTTAAAGGAAAAGAGCTCAGGAGAAGACGTTCTAGTTCACAACGAAACACATCCCCTTCTTGATGTCACAGGTCTTCTCAGTCACACAGCAAATACTATCATCCATTAGGAAACAAGCGCTGATGTGGACAGCGACACAACACAGACACTTCTGTTTCCCTGAAGCTTGCAGTATATGAGTCATATAACTTATTTTAAATGACTTCCCCCTTCTGCTTGTTTCTGTTTGGTTCACTGGTTTTTTGTTTTTGTTTTCTGAGATACTGTCTCCCTACGTAACCCCTGCTGGTTTATCTCACTGTGTACCCCAGCTAGCCTCAACTTTGCAGCACACCCCTGCCTGTGACACTCCAGTGCTGGTAATAGGAGAGGCCCCGACCTTAACTGCACTTCTCTCGATACAATGGGCCAACCTAGTCTGCATCACAGAACAGAGAAATGAAATGTCAGGAGTTAGTTAGTCTAGAAACAATCAGTGCGGCATGAGTCTCTGCTTATTGGTTTGGCTGCACACCGTGATAGCACAAACTGGTAACAAACACAGAGCAAAGGGAGAGGGAATTCTACACTACTGCTGCAACTGTAAAATGCCTTCCCATATGAAAGGGAATTTAATTAACGTGTCCTTTCTGGATCTGGCAATGATTTGGTAACTGTTATTCACGCAAAATGAATAGAAGATATTCTTCAATTTGAAATACAAGACAAAGATCACATCTTTTAAAAAATTTAAGCCAAATGAAAGTTATTGAACTGGGAATTATAATTTTAAGCCGACCTACTTTATACTGAGAAGCAACCAATCACTCTCATTTATTCTAATAATTCTGCATTTTTTCTCTTACAAATAAGCTTTTATTTCTTTTATGTTTCTAGTAATGGCATATTCAAAGTTGCTATTTTTAAACATAATCCTGAAAGCTAAAAGTATTTAAGTGCAATTGGATTTTAAAACTTGATCAGCCTTCAGCTGTCTACAATTACTCCACAGAAAAAGCAATTAATTGATTAAAAGGACTTAAACATTACAAGAACAACTTAGACATTACTACAAAAATGCTACATTTAATTTAGCATGATTTTTGTTGGACTAATATCAACTGTTCCAAATGCTAATATAGAAACATGACCTTATTTTCTGACCAAAATATAAACCACAAATTAAGTCCATACATTCTTCAAATCCAAGCAGAACCCTGAATTCCAATGTTTTCCTCCTATATATCAACGGATTTTTCTCAGAGGAACATTTGAAACACACAAATGCTTTACATTTTTAAAAAAATATTTACTGACTAATAACAAATACTGTCCCTCTATAGACATTTTGCATTAAGTGCCTATACTAGTTCTATGAAATAGAACTATTTTTATCAGTAATTTCATAAAATGTAACATAATAATTTCAATTTTAAAAATGAATGGGCAAAAATCATTAAAAAAATAATACTTTTATCTTTGACTTTCCTCACTACTTATTTTTCTTGTTTTAAATGCATCCTGAAGTACTGTTTAAAAACTCAGTCTGTGGATAGCTTGTAAGAAGTACTGAGTGTGATGACTAACTTGACACAGTAGGTTAAAAAACAATATTCATAAAATGGATAATGTTGGATTTAATAAAACAGTGGAGAAGGCAGGGCAGCATAGAAAAACCAAGTGTTCTGTACTTGATGGTTAAGGCATGAGATGTGCAGATGACATCACACAACCATTCCGATGAGTGAAGACACAAACCCAACCCCACAGCATCCACACGCCCATCGGGAAGAGTGAAGACACAAACCCAACCCCACAGCATCCACACGCCCATCGGGAAGAGTGAAGACACAAACCCAACCCCACAGCATCCACGAGCCCATCGGGAAGAGTGAAGACACAAACCCAACCCCACAGCATCCACGAGCCCATCGGGAAGAGTGAAGACACAAACCCAACCCCACAGCATCCACGAGCCCATCGGAAAGAGTGAAGACACAAACCCAACCCCACAGCATCCACGCTTCCATTCAGCAAGCAATCACAAGGATACCGTGTCAAGGATAATTGGAATAATCCTACAATTGTTTTGTCCAAACTTTGCAACTCACTAAGAGTAAGGACAGGTTGTTTTTTTTGTTTTTTTGGTTTTTCGAAACAGGGTTTCTCTGTGGCTTTGGAGGCTGTCCTGGAACTAGCTATTGTAGACCAGGCTGGCCTCGAACTCACAGAGATCCGCCTGCCTCTGCCTCCCGAGTGCTGGGATTAAAGGCGTGCGCCACCAACGCCCGGCGAGTAAGGACAGATTTAACATGCACTAAGTGGATTTCAGACACTCTCGTCCTCTACACATCAGCTCATGCTGTTCTAAGCTAGCTGCCTCCTTGACAGTGCCTCAACACTTGCTGTCGGAAATGCTCATTCCCACATCCACGGGGCTTTCTCTTTCACCTTAGCTCAGAAGCTTCCTTCACAAGATGGCCTCCTCAGTCAACCAATTTTAAAACGTACAGTCCTCTCTTAGTGCAACACTCACTATTCCTTTCCACTCTTTTTCTACCTAACGTATTAATAAACATCCTTGACATCATATTGGTTTACATTACAGTGTAAGTTCTAACAGACTAGGATTTCTGACTTCACTTAGTCTTATAGGCACACAGAGCAGTGCATGGCTATAAGCACTTAAGAGAAAGAGGATGCAGGATCAGAAATCTAATGTCATCCTCAGCTTTTAAATGGAAAATCTAAGCCAGCCTGTGCTACATGAGACTCTGTGTCATATAAATAAGTACTGGTTGCAGAAATTAAGAAGTGATTACAGACGTGTATAGTATTGTTATTAGAAAAAACTAGGAAACACCTCAAAATTCAAGCTCAGTTATATTCGAAAGGAAGGGAAGGCAAAATATTATGAAAGAACAAAAAAAAAAAGAGTATCAAAATACTAGGAAGTATACTTATACAAAAGAATGTTCCCCTTTACTCACTGTGATCATACATGTTACATACTACATTTGAATATAGCTATATTCATTTTTAATAAAGTAGTAAAGTATGTTGAATACTATTTAAAATAAAAGAGGACACAGATACAAAATTGAACTGTCTTAAATAAGAAAGGAAGGCAGAGGCAGGCGGATCTCTGTGAGTTTGAGGCCAGGCTGGACCGACAGCCTCCAAAACAATACAGAGAAACCCTGTCTCATAAAACCAAAAAAAAATTTTTAATAGAATAAAACAAAAATATGGGCTACAGAAATGTCTCAGTGGTTAGGAACATCCGCAGCTCTCGTAGAGGAACTGATTCCATTCCCTACACCCATATGCTGACTCACAACTATTTCAACTCCAGTTTCGGGGTATCCCCTGCCCTCTGACCTCAGTGGGCACAAGGAACACAGGCAAAAACACATACAAATGAGGCAAAATAAGTAATAAAATGTGTTACAAGCATTAGCAAAGATAGAGAGAAAAAGAACTGCATACATACTGTGATAAAGCAAACTAACGTGGCCAAAGGATAACAGTATTGAGACAGCTATGAATTGAGAATTACGACTAGCATATTATGATCCAGTAGCCCACTTAAGATACAGAATCAAAGAAAATGAAGTCAGCATACTAAAGAGATACCTCCACACCCTTATTTACTATGCCACTATTTATTTATAAATAACCAAAACACAGAAGCAGCCTAGAAATCTATTCACCAAATAAATGACATTTAAGTGATACATATATACAATGGGTATTACTCAGTAATAAAGTATGAAATTTCCAGGAAAACTGATGAAACTAGAAAACATTAAATAAAACATGCTGAACACACACAAGAAAAAAGAAAAACAAAACAAAAACAAGTACTGCATATTCACCCTCATAGGAGGAAGCCAAAAGATGATGGTACTACATAGTGGTTATTAAAGATTGAGAAGGGCGTGGCAAAGGGTTTCAAAAAAAAAAAAGAGGGGAGGACATTTAATTTCTAATACTTGCTACATGCATGTGTGAAAATATCATATTCAATCTCATTAATATGAATAATTAATATGTCAATAAATTTTGCTACAAGGAAATCACAGAATGAGGCAGCTGTGAGATTCTAAAAATTCATTTTATTTTTAGTTATGTGTCTGTCTATGTGGAGGTTATGTGCACATTGATGCAGTACTTCCAGAGGCCAGAAGAGGGCACAGGATCCCCTGGAGATGGATGTCATGCTGGGACTGAAACTAAGCCCTTTGAAAGAGCAACATGGCCCTTAATCCCCAAGACATCTCTATAGCCCCAGCTACAAGATTTTGTTCTTTTTTAACATTAAATCAGGCTTATATGACATAGTTAAGAAAGAAAGTGGTGACAACTTTAACAAGACAAGAAAAAATCAAAATTCAATAATTCAGTTAGAAGGGTCATGCAACTTTATGAAGAACTATGAGATTCTGCCTTTCATCTGCTGAGCCCTCTGACTCTTCCTGGTTCAATTACAATGCCACTAAAATTTAAGCATTAAAAAGGTAACAGATATTCGCAACAAAAGAAAGAGAAACCTACCTTAAAAGTCACGGTTGCCTTTGTGCAGTAAAACCCTACAGAAACAATGGGATCCTTCAGGGCGGGCACTTTCTGTGGGTGCATGGTTGAGGCAGGGTCATTCCCAAGGTAATCTTCCTCTCCATCATCGTAACTCACAATTGCAGGGACAAACGACCAGGCCCAGGACACCCATCCCTGCGGTTCCTCACAGCCCTGGGAGTACAGCTCTTGGCCTTTGTGCTGAGCAGGGTACTGCATGTCTATCCTCGCCTCATCTTCAGCACCTGCCAATCAAAGTCAGCTTTTTAACTGGGTAAAGAGCATTCAAACAGGAAAAATGCAACTACATAATTAGTTCCTTTTGTAATCCAATACATTCGCTCTAAGTATTTAAAATATCCAGGAGAATTTATCCTCCCAATTAGGAAACAAGAGAAAACATAAGAAATGAAGGTTTCTACACAAAAACAACTGTCAAACAATGAATGAAGGCCAGAATACTGAACTCTTCCATCACCCCCATCTTACTGCTGGAATGAATTCTAAGTCATATCCAAGAAAGCAGAAACCCAACCCAGGTTCAGGAGTCTCTCCTAGATGAGAAGCCAGTATAGCAGATCTAGGGAACTTAGGCTGACAATCGCTCTGCTCCCATCTAACAGACTTAACTAAAGCAAGCCTCAAACGAATCATTCCCAAGTGATGTCACTGTTGGAACACAAATATGTCTAGAACTTGGCAAGATAAAATTTATGATACATGTTATTAAGACAAATAAAAAAACACAATGAAACAGGTCCAGAAAAATAAAGACCACAGTGTTAGGAACAGGGCATTAAACAGCAGCATAAATAGAGAGAGGGTTTGTGTCCCAGAATGCTTAAACTGACATGGATCACAGAAGTCTCCTGCTGAACTTCCAGAGACAAAAGCATGGCAGATGAAGCTAAAAGAGATGAGATGCAAAAGGAAATTAAGGAGTTATTCAGGGAATAGGAGCTACATAAAATGAGACACAGAAAGAAAGGAAAATGTTAATAGGCGGGGCGAGCACAAAAGATCTCTGGCAAACAGGTCACCTAAAATAGACTGGAACTCTCTGAAGTAGAGAATAAGGAAAGATATAAAGAAATGTGGTCAAACTGTGTCTACATACACAGGAAAGCTGCAGATGTCCAGGCTTCGAGAACCCCGGGACAAGTCACACGAGACAGGACACCAGGGAGAACTCTGTGACAAGTCACACGAGACAGGACACCGGAGAGAACCCCAGGACAAGTCACACGAGACAGGACACCAGAGAGAACCCCAGGACAAGTCACACGAGACAGGACACCAGAGAGAACCCCAGGACAAGTCACACGAGACAGGACACCAGGGAAACCCCAGGACAAGTCACACGAGACAGGACACCAGGGAGAACCCCAGGACAAGTCACACGAGACAGGACACCAGAGAGAACCCTGTGACAAGTCACACAAGACAGGACACCAGGGAGTGTCCCATCAAGCTGCTCACAGCTTCCGGAGAGCTTTGCACATTTTTTCTAAGCATACGCCTACCAATACAACAGAAAACAAAACATCCTTGCTTTAAAAGAATGGAAAACCCAAATCAAGCTCCTTCAAAAGTAAACAGAAAAGCTGTCTGTTTTCTTCCTCTGGTAAGACACAAAGAGAAAAAAAAAATGAAAGCATAAAACCCTAGAAACTCTCTAAGGTCACAGGCAGTAGTATTGTTTTAAAATGTGTTGTACATACGTGTTGGTCTCATACATGTGGGAGCACATGTAATGTGTGTCTGGAGGCCCAAGGTTGGTATGAGGAGTCCTCCTCCATTGCTCTCCTTATTCACGGAGGCAGGCTCTCTGGGTTTACTGCTACAGAGCAGGCTGTCTGTCACAGCCAGTCTGGCTCCTGCTTACTCTGGAATCACAGGTGGTTTCCATGGCAGCAGGCATTTGTGTGGGTTATGAGGATACAACCTCGTGTTGATAAGCTTGCACAAGCTTTTACCATGTACCAACTTCCCTACCCCTGGCAACCGCAGTCACTAAAGAAAAGTGAGTACATTCTATCAGAACCTAAAACTTCTGCTCATGAACATCCATTAAAAATGAGGAGGCTGGGCTGACAAGATGCCCAGGGGGCAAAGAGGCTTGCACCACAGCCTGACCATCCTAGTCCCATCTGTGGAAACCACACGAAATGGAAGAAGAGAATCGACCACACAGAGCTCTACTCTGACCCCACATATGCACCCACACCCACACACATACACACAGACACACAATCATACATCACACACACACATACACCACACACACATTCATACGCCCCACACACACACAATCATACATCACACACATCCATACACCCCACACACACATACAACATACACACACCCATACACCCACACACACACAATCATACATCACACACACATTCATACGCCCCACACACACACAATCATACATCACAGACAACATACATCACACACAGACAACATACACACAGACACACAATCATACATCACACACATACACCACACACACACCCATACACCCATACACACACCATCATACATCACACACACAGACAACATACACACAGACACACACACAATCATACATCATACACATAGACACACATCACACACACAGACACACAATCACACGTCACACACACACCCATACACACACATACAACATACACACACAGACACACATCACATGCAACACAAACACACGTGACACACACAGAGTTTTAATTAAAAATGAATAAGAAAGTCACAGGCTGACAAAGAAAACTCACAAAATATGACTTGAATCCAGAACATATAAAAACACAAATTCATAGTAAGACAGAAAAGGCTTTAAAATGGGCCATATTTAACATGTATTTTAGAAGGATAAATAACTTACTGAAGATCAGTACCTATGAAAACACTCAAAATATCTACTCATAAAAATTATGCAAATTAAAGCATGAGCTGTGACAACATCATCTTCAGAATGGTGACAAACTCAACACATTTTGGCTTCAGCAGATGCTGTCGGACATGGAGTGATTGAACTGTCACTACTGACAGACTTCAGTTTGCTCTACCTTTAAAGCTGTAAGCAGTGAAACGCAGTAGGTAGTTCTAAGTTTCTGTTGTACTGACCTGCAATGTTTGCTAAGGCATCCTTACTGTGACAGGCAGGGTCCTCGGTGTCACCATCCTTCAGATTGCCTATTTCCCCATAGTAGAGAGCAATGCCAAGCTGCATTATTCGGATAAACATGGGCAGCTGCTGGTCTGTGATAGAAAGTTTCAAACTCTCTACTAAAGTGTGAATCTGTGTTTGGAGGGGGAAAAAAAGCATTATCAAAAAGATGTTTTAAATTAAGCAGACCGGCCAAGCCATGGTGGCGCTTGACTTTAGTGCCAGCACTCGGAAGGCAGAGGCCGGTGGATCTCTGTGAGTTTGAGGCCAGCCTCCAAAAAGCTACACAGGGAAACCCTGTCTCTAAACAACCCCCCCCCAAAAAAGCAGACCAATTTCAGGTCCTAAAATGAGATGTAATATAGAAACAACAATGTCTCAAGGGTTACCAGTAATTAAACCAAAATAATATTTACTCCAAGCTTTAGGAATTAAAAAATATTTATTGTGATGAATATACTGTAGAAGACAGTTGGACTAAGACAAATACTGTAGAAACAGAGGTAATAACCAGAAGATACATTTATACTAGAGTTCTAGATTATTCTAGAGAGAAATTATATCACCAAATAACCAAAGAATATAACAGTATTTCCACCCTTCATCCTTCTTTTTAAAAAAATGGTCAAATGGAAGAATGTTAAGTTTCATGATGTCAGTTTAGTAGAATGTCAATCATTCTTTTCAAGTTTATTAACCATAGGCATCCTAAAACCATATGCTAAAACAGGGTAAAGGCTCACATTATAAATATGTAAGCATGGGAATAATTAAAGTGCTGTTGTCAAATATATACAGTCAAGTAACTATGTTCAGGGAGTTTTTCAGACAACCTTTAAAGATATTAAAACATGACACAAAATGTATAACATGAATCAATTATAAGAAAAAATAAGATTAATACCAATTAGGACATAGTATTCAAAGTTCTCCTTAAAAACAAAGACAACTATGAAATACAAACACAGCTAAACAATAATGGTTTCCTGCTGTCATATAAACATGAGGGGGAACTAGCTATACAATAAAGTTCTTTGAGGTTTACTGAGAATAACTGGTACTTGAGTGCCTATGAGACATGAAAAAGAAGCCACAGTCATCACCCTACAGGAAATCAAGGCATTCGAACAACTTGCCATGGAGAAAGATGCACATAGGGCGGGGGTGGAGGGCAGAAGTTTCAAATGCTGTCACAGGCTCTTTAACGGCTTCCTAAGAACCACGCTCTGAGTAACTGACAAATGGACAAGGGAACGAGTGGGGAAGAAGAGTCTAAGTTTGCTGCTAACCCAGGCTGGCTGGCTCCGGTCGTGCTATGCAGCCCACCCAGGCCTTGAACTTGCCATCCTGCTTCCTTCCTGCCTTGGGAATTACAGAATGCTGGGATTGCAGGGGCACGTGCACCACCACAGCCGGCCCAGGTCTCTCTCTTGACGTCTGTCGCAATGAGACCATCTTTGGGTTCCTGCTCCTTATTCCTCCCATGCCTGACCATGAGCCACGGCAGCTTGTGCCTTGCCACGCCTTGAGGTGAGTGAGTGCACTGTGGCAATGGCAGACCAAAAGCTGGCTTGGAAAATAATCGAGAGAAAGGAAGACTATCATTAATACATACACCAAGAGCTGACTAAAATCGACCTATAAAGATTTCACACCAGAAAAATGGACCAAGAACCTGCATGGGTATCTCACAGTGGAATACCCAGTGAATTACTCACTTCATAATCCTAAAACAATGCCAGTTTAGCTGCCATTCCATGCCTAACAAGTTGGAAATGTTTTTAAACATGTCAGGCCAACAAGAGTGTAATATGAACAGTCCCCTGAACAGTAATAGCTATAGGTCCTAGCTAAATCTCTCAGGAGATAATTGTCCAGTATAGGTTTATAAGGCTTAAAAAAATTAAACACATTAATAAGATATTTGCACTTACGAAACTATAGAAACTTTTCCTGAGGAATTAATCATGCATGGCTAAATGTTTATATCCAAACTTCATTCTTTAAGAAAAAAAAAGTAAATTCCAAAAATAGGTAAAATCAAATTATGTTCCATATGATCTATTTCATGACACAATCTCTAAAACACGTTTCACACAAAATACAGAAAATTTTAACAGCCTACACAAAACAGGAATGGATTCAAAATCTACTGAAGCCTATGAAAACGTTCCACAAAATTACAAAATAAAAATGATTAACAAGGAAAAACTGTCTTCAGGTGGTTGTTAAGCTTAGCCTCAGCTGTGTAATAAAAGTCTCTAGAACCAAAACAATGGACCTAACTCAGAATGGCAAACTTCATATCACAGTAATTCTAATGAAAAGATCAAAAATGATTTCACTGGAGTCTGCCTGATAGTGTCTGATGTGTGGCCTTCCTTCTAGTTATTTTTTGTTTTCATCTAATTCAGCTAAATGCTATAATGAACAGATAATCTTGCACTAATGATCAAGATTATTTTATATATACTAAAGCTATTTTCTAATGATGAGTAAAACTAAGAGGAGTAGAGAGGGGAAATCATAATCAGGTATATTATATGAGAAAAAAACGTATTTTGTTTTTTTATCTTTCTCTATTTTTTTAATTTAAATTAGAATAAAGCTTCTTTTACATGTCTATCCCAGATCCTTCTCCCTCCCATCCTCCCCTGCCCCACTGGCCCCCTATCCCATCCCCTTTCTGCTCCCCAGGGAGGGTGAGGCCTTCCATGGAGGATCTTCAAAATCTGTCATATAAATTGGGTCAGGGCCTAGGCCCTCCCCTGTGTGTCTAGACTGAGAGAGTATCCCTCTATGTGGAATGGGATCTCAAAGTCCATTCGTATGCTAGGGATAAATACTGATCCGCTACCAGAGGCCCCATAGATTGCCCAGGCCTCCTCACTGACACCCATGCTCAGAGGGTCCGTATCAGTCCTACGCTGGTTTTCAATAGAAGGGAAAATAACAACAGTTACCATCTAATGATGAGAGAGAGAGAAAGGGAGAGGAGTGAGTTTTATGGGTGTGTTCTCAGAAATATAATCCATAGTATTCCACCAGCTTAAGCAGCGCCTCCTGTTGGAGGTTGGAATAGCCATAAACCAGGAGTCAAGTCACTCAGCACTCTTTCCCAAGGGTCAATATTAATTTATGACATAACATCAACCTAATCATGTATCTGGGCCCTGGATTCCACATCCAGAAAAACAGGAATACTAAAACATATGTTCAAGCTGAGAATTCCAGGGTTCTTGGAAGTCAGTTTTTAAAGATCCAATAAAACATGTTTATATTTTTTAAAGTGCTTTACTAAAATACAATATTAAAAAAAATAAAATCTAATTTTTAGACAGTCATAGTCATAAAATGTGATAATGTTCAGAAAACTAGTGGGTAATAAAACATGATGTACGCTTACATACATACTACATACACTGAAACATACACCAACTTAGAAAAAACTGATCTTTACATGCATCAAAAGACATACCCTGGAAAACTCCAGTACTCTCTAAAACTTTATTTACGTACTGAAACTAACTATGGGTAAAAAGCCAATACTTGCCCTAGCACGGCAGCTCATGGGGGCTCATCACACAAGAAGGTAAGACACTAATTTAGGTTCAGCCTGGGACACACAAAGAATTCTATGATGGCCTAGGCGAGTTAGATCCAGTTTCAACAGCAGCAGCAGCAAAAACCTTTGAGCCAATTAACTTGAGTATTTGGTTGAGTAATCATTCAAGCCTTATAAAACAGCTTAAGGCACATGGATCAGGGGAGTGTCAGCCTACAATCCCAGAGCCAGTGAGTCTAGGAAACAGGGAGGTTCCCAAGAGATATGCATTATACCCCAGAGAAGTGGAATAAGGCAAGATTTCCTGAGCCGATAGGGAACATTGCGGGAGGGAAGAGGGAACCAGGAAAAAGAGAGGGGGATAAGAGGAGGGTAGAAGAAGACATGGGGGAGCAGGAAGGTTGAATTGGGGTAAGAATAGAGGAGACCAGGATGAGAGATACCAGAATAGTTGGAGTCATTATAGCTTTGAGGAGAGAGCTGACACTAGTGAGATTTCCAGAGATCTACAAGGATAACACCAACTGGAAAACTAATAGTGGAGAGACTACATTAATAGTCCCTACCTGATGATAAGGTTGATTACTACCTTATATGACATCCTATAACCTTCATCCAGTGACTGATGGAAGCAGAGACAGATACTCACAGCTAAACACTGAATTGACCCCCTGGAACCCAGTGACAGAGATGGAGAAGTAATGGGCAAAGGGGTCAAGACCATGCTGGTGAAACCCACAAAGATAGCTGACTGAACATGGGGGAACACTTGAACCCCAGACTGATGGCTAAGAGGTCAACAGGGGACTGATCCAGACTCCATGAATGTAGTGTCAGTGAGGAGGCCTCAGAAATCTCCAGGGCCTTAGGCAGTAGATTAGTGTCCACCATGGCATACTAATAAACTCTGGGAGCCCATTCCACATGGAGGGATGCTCTCTCAGCCTGGACACATGGGGAAGGGCCTAGGTCCTGCCCCTGATGCGGAAGTCCTATGTATATGTCAATAAATCACTGTTGGCCAATAGGGAAGCAAGATAGGTGGGACTAGGAGTCCAGGAGAACTATGGGTAGGAGAAACACAGGAAGTCAAGATTAACCACCATGGGGTAGGAAGCCCGGAAACTTCTCCGGTAAGAGAAATACTTAGATTAACAATTATGGGATAAATACTTAAGTCAGAGCTAGCCAGTAAGAAACAAGCAAGGCCAACAGCTTCATAATTAATACAGCCTCCTGTGTGTTTAGTTGGGACTGATGTGGCTCTGGAACCAGGCTGGCGGGAAGGCTTCTCTTTACAAATGGTTGTCAGTAGAGGGATTGAATTTCCACGTAGAATGACAAAAGCTTTAAAGGAATTTTAGAAACAAAAGAACGGAAAAAAGCATGGGTTCTTGGTAGCAGCATTTTCCTCAGATGGGCTCTGTTTTGCTAGCGACAAGCAGAGTAACACGGCTTGCTTAAGGGAGTCTTCCTGATTCAGCATAAAAAAAAAAAAACCAAAGTTCTTTTAAGAGGCTCTGCTAACAATTAAAAGGTGTGTATGTACAGCTGGAAGTGGCAGTGACCACATCTCCAAGCCGGCAGCTTTTGCTGGATGTCAGACTGATCCAGTGAGCTGGAGTCATGCTTACACCTGCCATCTTGGAAAAACCTCTAAAGGTTTACAGTGTTTAAAAATATATGTAGGATTGAGAGAGAAAAAAAAACGGCAAAGTGGTAAATAAGTAGAGAAGCCGGCTGTGGTGGCACATGCCAGTAGGATTGCTGCAGAGGCAGAGGCAGGTGGAGTTCCAAAGAGAAACTCTGTCTCAGAGAAAAATAAATAAAAGTAAAAGAAATAGAGTAATAATAAAAAAAAATAAGCCACGTAAAGATGGACAATACACAGAGAGTCTGGATACTGTATACTACTGTGTTTTTCAGTTTTTTGATTGCTCAGGAAGAAACAACTACTAAAGTACACTTGATTATAAATGCTGTTGAATTAATTCAACTTGTATCTTTTGAAAATGCCTTGACTTCAAAATTTAAGAATAAGGATATGTTACTTTGGAAAAGAGTTTTTATTTATGTTTCTACAGAAAATGAAAAGCTGAGGATTCCTTCCAGGCTTCTGTGGTTTGATGAACCAAGACCCCCGGAAGCAATGGCCCAAGTGATTCAACATCTAAAACAGCTAAGATGATGCAGCCTTATAGACCCGGAAAATAAGGACTTATACAGGTTTCTGAGTTTTGTCAGATCCCCATGGTATAAACAGCACCCCCTTCCAGCATGAAGCAGTTTGGAATGAGCGCCTTCCTAATTCCCATCTTGTTTATAAATCTTTGTTTTCATTTGAATGGGGTTGTTTATAATTGGTTAATGATCACAACCAATCTCTTTTTAAAGGAAAAAGGAGACTATGGTATGGAAATGAATACTTTGTATTGGTATGTTTTTTCATTTATTGAGACAAATTCAAGGTCATTTTTGTGATATGTATATTTCTGCTCTTGATTAAGTATTGTGCTTAAACTGTTCTTTTAAAATGTAATGCATAATTAAATACAGACTATAGATAGTTACTTATAATAGTCAGAATTTATAGTTAGGTAAGTTAGGTTTTCTAGATATACAGAGATATATTTGAGATATATAGATAGACAGTATTCAAACCTTTCAAAGACTTTCAGAAAATGGCATTTAAAATGGTTTAGGGTTTTTCTTGACAATGAGAAATGTCTGCTCCTGGCAGCACCAATTACATCTGAGAGGAAGATGGGCATCGAAGAAACTCGTTATGGAGTTTGCTTTCAACACGGCAAGATTAGCCATTTGGGCAAGAAACTGCTCTTGCCTAGACTGCTTGACTGTTGCTGTATAAACTGGACATGCAGGACCCACAGAAAGTGACTGCTGAACTCAAATATTCATTCAGGGTTCCTGCTTCATGACAGAGTCTACGAAACTTTCTGCAGGACACAGAGAAATGACTGACAGACTGCCAATGCAGATGGACAGTTTGAAATTTCCTGCTTTGCTGAGAAATCTTCTGGACACACTGTGGCCTATGGGCTGAAGATGGATGCCCCAACGTTACAGAGGAACTTCAGGTGACTGTCCAGGCAGTAAGATGTCTCTGTCAATCCTAGTGTTTATGTATTTTCCTTCTGTGGTCTTTGATAGAGTTGAAGGCAGATAGTTATAATTATAGTTTTCCTTAGTTATGATAAAAGATAAGCTACATATAGAACTTTGGACTCACAAGGATGGGATGGATATTTTCTTTAAATCTTGCTAAATGTTGATAGACAAAATATTGTAACTGTGTTCTTACTTGATAACTGTTCTGTTATATACAATTTGACTATGTTAAAGTTAAGACCTCTCTTTTTGTTTAGACAGAAAAGAGAAGATGATGAGGAAGTCCTATGTATATGTCAATAAAGCACTGTTGGCCAATAGGGAAGCAAGATAGGTGGGACTAGGAGTCCAGGAGAACTATGGGTAGGAGAAACACAGGAAGTCAAGATGTAACCACCATGGGGTAGGAAGCCCGGAAACTTCTCCGGTAAGAGAAATACTTAGATTAACAATTATGGGATAAATACTTAAGTCAGAGCTAGCCAGTAAGAAACAAGCAAGGCCAACAGCTTTATAATTAATATAGCCTCCTGTGTGTTTATTTGGAACTGATGTGGCTCTGGAACCAGGCTGGCGGGAAGGCTTCTCTTTACATGCCCCGGATGAAATGACAGACTCTGGAGATCCCCCCAAGGAGGGCCTCAGCCTCCCTGGGGAACGATGTGGGGATTGGGTGGGGGTGATAGGGGGCTGGTGGAGGGAGAAGGGGGGAGCTGGGACTGATATTTGAAGCATGCATGTTTCTAATTTAAATAAAGCCATTAAAAATAAAATTAAATTTAAAAAAAAAAACAGCTGAAGGCAAATGACTAGTTGTCACATGATGCCAGGCAAATGGTAAGGACTAAAACACAGATGACTGCTGTCCTAAATTCCTGAGTGGCCCTACAGTTCAACAGCAGGGTCTTGCACTACTTTTCTATAAGGCATCCTCAGTACTTAAATAAGGACTAATGATAGATAACAAGACTGGAAAGGAAATTTGTACTTCCAGAAAAGGTTGCCTCCAAAATAACCCTACCAGAACACATTATACAAAAAGTTAAAAATATAAAAACTAGTGTATTAAACTTTTCATATACACAAATAGCACATATATTGATGAAGTTCATTTTTCCTGGGTTATTTTCATTATAATCATCATGCACAAGAGCCAATAAAGAAAATAAAGATATATAACAAGCTACTAGAAAAAGAAATACTCACTTTAATGATAGATGGCATCTTGGAGTTCAGGTTGTCATACGTAAAATGGAGGCGAGTTCTGAAAGAGCACTTGTATAGTAGCGGGTCCTGGTAAAACTCGATTTTCCCACTAGCGTTCCTTTTATCAAGACAAACTGTACAGTCAGAAAAGTTGATGGCTTTCCTCAGCACCAGATCAGTTGCTTAAAAACAAAAAAAGAGAAAACCACTATGAGCAAAAAGGAAAATCAGAATATGGATCCGACGTATGCAAAATTTATGAAATCAGAACCTCCCCTGACCAACGAGCAGTGCGGATGTCACCCTGTCTACTTGTACAGCGTGAGCAGAGTTAGGGAAATGACAGCTACCACATTCATCACTGTATAGCTCCTTACGATAAGCCAAAGAACGAGGTAGGTCACAGCCACAATCTTCAGGACAATCAAGAACCCCAAACGCTCCTATGAAAGTTTGTAAAGCAATATACTTGTTTGCTTTCATTAGAAAGAACTGAAAATGCAAAGGAAAAGTAAGTTTTGTGGTTATAACCCGTTGCATCACAACTGAAACAACCATATGATAGGTAAAAGACAATAAAAATTTTAAATTTTCAGAAACAATCTCATGGTTTCTTAAAGTGCTATTAACCTCCAGTAATCACATACTAACTTTTGTATACATGCACTTTTCCCACACCAGATGCATGAAGTTTATATTACAGTTACCACAAAGTCCACCCCAAAAAAGGTTAAGAAATGAATGCAACTTTATCATTTACAGAGAAGTGTGCACTAACACTATTTTCTTGATAGCTCCTCACCAGAAATATCCATGAACGCACGATCCCACAGCTCATCCACAGTATAGCACTCAGCAGAAGTGATGTTGACAGAAAGGACAATGTCGTCTTCAACGTATTTTAATATGAGATTATTTATAACAATGTTTACATTGTTTACAACGCGTCTAATCAGACTCTGCACGTATCCTACAATGTAAGTAAAAGGCTCAGTTAGCTGTAGTCTACCAACAAATACTCTGGAAATGCTACTAAACTTAATGTGTATAAAAGGTGAATATTGTTTTAGGATATTCTGTAAACAGGAAACTAAAGTTTAAATAAACCAGACAAGCAGACAGCCCAACATACACTTTTACTAAAAGACGCTATAAGGAAGCATGAGCACATATAATAAACCAGAGAGCATATTTAATGATGTTACACTAGACGCCATACAATGGCCATTGTATTTGACACACACTTTGTCTGGTTTCTGCCTGTTTTATGAACAGTTGGTATGGTGTCCCATACCTGTATTCCCAGCTATTCTAGAGTGGAAAGCCTTGTCTGATCCCCAGCAAAGGAACAGAAAAGGGGAGAGAAAAAGTAACAACAACAACAGAACAATATGCCAAGGACGTAGGGGAAAGGATAAAACGGTACACGAACAGGAAAACTTCCAGTGCATCATACAGGAGAGCTAAGCAGGAACTCAAGACCATTACTACCACAAACTGCAGCTCTTAGATATCTATCATTAACTTACAGGAAATACATGTGCTCCAAATCAGGTAAACTCATCTCTGCTGACCTTCATCCAGTCACATACACACATCCGATCCTTGCAGAAGCATGCGCACACTCACACACACACACACACACACACACACACACACACAAGTGTCCTAAGGTCTTACTTTTACTACCTGATACTATCTTGAAGTTTCCTATCCTGGGGCATTTATTTCTAAAAAACGCTTACTATGACCCACTAAATTGCTTTACAATGTACTCAGTTGTCGAGACACACAATCTCAAAGACTCTTACTCATTGCCTGTTAGAGAAGCATTTGTTTTGCTGGAGAAATAGCTATCTACCTATTAGCGATACCAAAGCTTTTCCTACAAATCATCTCTGGAGGGTCCCGTGGTTAAGAGCACTGGCTCCTCTCCAAACTGTGTAACTTCAGTGCCAGGCCCTCTTGTAGCCTCTGCAGGCAGCAGGGACACAAACAGTGCACAGACACATGCAGGCCAAACACCCGCACACACAAAAATGCTTTAATGGTAAAGTTTTAAATCATTTCCGGATTCCATACAAATATTCCAACTTAGAAACCATAACAGAGACATAACTCTGCCCTAAGAAGGCTAGAAACAGGAGTGAAAGCAAACAAGGTAGGATAACAACAATAGAGGTCATGCTTTAAATAAATGGTCACACTTGCTACCCAATCAGATTCTCAAGTCCTCCACTCTCCCTCTTAGTGAAGTTAACTGCTCTGACTCCCCAGGCAAACAAGCCTGAAAATATATATTCTACAAATACTAGCACACGGTCAGTAGCAACAGCAATCTCAAGGTTGGGCGTTACCTGGTGGCAAGTCAGGGTCTGCAGGAGCGGCCTGCTGAATTCTCCGGGGCTTTGTGGATGATTTTGTGTTCTCGGCAGTGCTTCGGTTGGTAGAGCTGGAACCACAGCTTTCATGGTCGTCCTATATTTGTGTTAAAGGAAGAAGAAACACTGATCTCATTCAAGGACTATGACATTTTGGTCAGCATATGAATTTATGATGCTAAAAGTCAGACTTTCGGTAAGTTAGCTCTAAAAATGCATGTAACCCATTTTCAAATTCTGTAAACAGCTCTCAACAGCCGGGAGGACCTCAGCACTTGATACACAGCATGAGGGCTGCGGATCCCAGCCTACACGTAACACGCCAAGCCTGGTGCTGCACACGCCTGTAACCCCAGCAAGAAACGTGCCTCAAAGCTTAAGGTGGAGAGCAACAGAGAACACCCCTCACTGCACACCAGGTCAGTGCATACACCACGCGTGCACGCGGACTACTCTAAAGCTTCTTTCTTTAGCTAGTAACAAAAGAGATCACCGGGCAATATTCAAAGACTTCTTATTTACGGCTCCACAAAACTACATGACTACTGATGGAAATCTTTTAACGATTTACATACCCCAACAAATAATGGAAAGCGAATTTAGGCTGTCTTGTTCTTTGGCTTCCATGTTAAAATTTTCATGACTTAGAATCCAAGCACTCATATTAGTTATTTTTAATGTCACGAGTCTTACAATCTTTACATGCTATTTAACAATACATACTAAGTTACTATTGGTATTAGATACAAAGTCTACATGGATTTGATATGGATATCATGAAAGCTTAAATTGCATATTTACTTATCTCCTCATTTATAAAATGCAAATGAGTATTATATTCATGTCCTATATCAACATTTATAAAAGTTTTTTTCTTAATTGGTAGGCTTTTTTCCTAAGATAAATTAGTTATTATGCCTGTCATTAAGGATTTCAAAAATCTATCAAAAACATTATTAGCTAGTTCCAAGCAGTACTTTTTTTTTTTTTTAAGTAACATGAAGATAGACAGAGTCATTCCATTTGGAAAAACTAGATAAGTTATACCTTAAAAAACACGTGTATACAAACACATACAAATTTAGTTAACTAATTAAGTGTAAAAGGAAAAACGGTATGAGAAAAAGAATCAATAAAATAAGGTAAGTATAACTGTCAACTTATTATTCTCTTTTAAGAATAAGGCACATTTTTAACTTGAGACACGCAAATGTACAGCGAGAAATATCAATACAAAGGGTGAATGACGGCGCCCTGACCTTCAGCTCACTACTCAGCAAATACTATGACATTTACAGTAATGGGAAGAAATTTAGTTTTTATTTCACACACACACATACTTACACAAACAATAATTGCTAAATTTGCTGATCTAATTGGTAGTAGGAGCTAATAAAGAGTATGCAGACCTTCTTTAAAAAGCTGAAATCCGGGTGCTAGATAGACGGCTCAGCAATTAACAGCATTGGGCTGCTGTTGCAGAGGACCTGGATTTGGTTCTCAGCGCCCATCTGTCTACTCACAACTGTCTGTAACTCCAGTACCAGGGGACCCGACGCCCTCTTTTAACCTCCGGGGGGATACCAGGCATGCACATAATGCACAGGTATATATGCAAGAAAAACATCCATACACAAAAATGTAAATAAATAAAAGCTCAAAAATATATATCACACATAATTCCTGGGCTGGGTTATATGCTCCATGGACAAACGCTTGCCACACGAGTGTGAGGACAAGAGTCTGCATTCCCAACACCTACCAAAGAGTCAGGCGTGGCAGGTCACCTCACCTCAGTCCTCAAGAGACAGAGACAGAATCCCCAGGGCAAGCCTGATGGCCAGACTAGCAGAAATCAGCAAGCTCCAGGTTTAGCAAGAGACCCTGCCTCCGTAAATAAACACTAGAGGAGCAAAGGCACACACCTTCCATTGACATCTGTGCACACATATGCACCAAGCATGCACCCACACACGAACCATACACACAGTCCATACAAGCATAACTCACACACATTCAACAGGAAGACAGAAATCCTTAGTCAACAACATCAGAGAAATAGACCCTAGTGAAAGGTCAACTTTTACATCACAGATAGTAACTTTAGATGCTAGTGACACATTTGGGAAAATATTGTCTGAAACTTCATAAGTAAGAAGCAAAATATTTGACATCATAAACAAAGACAATCTGCATCAACTGTTGTTCACTTTTAAGATAATGAATGATAATTCCACAGTTTCATTCCACAAAACACCACCATAATTCAATCTTTACAATGACATCTCATGTTGGATGTGGGTATGCTTCAGACCTCAAAGACTTCAAGACTACTACTATGAGCAAACCCTAACTATAATTACCCTCAGTTCAAGAAACAACCTTAAAAACATCCAGTTACATACTTCTGTACAATATTAACATTAAAAGCACACTATTAATTTTTGGAACGTGTTTGCCTCAAAAGCCCAGAAGTAAAACACGTTCATTAAGGAGATGTGAAAAAAAAATCTTATGTGAACTGCCAAAACTAGCATAATTATGAAAATATTTAACACTGAAACCATCTGAAATCACAACATGCATCAGATTACAGTGATGTCATAATAAACATTCCAGCCAAAAGCCACTCAACGCTACCACAGTCTAATAAATCTGGGGAACAAGAGAGGACAAATATTTTAAAGCAAAAGAAAGAAGTTATTTTTATTTGTAAAATGTTATTAGAAGCAAGAAGGGAATATAGCAGACTAAATATGAGTTTCCAAAGATGTTTTTAAAATAAATAAATGAATGCACCCCTAATAAGGCTCCTCTGCAAAACTACATTGCTGTTATTGGAAAGAAAAGCAAACTTAATACGTTTATAATAAACTTCAATTTTAGTGTGTATACAAATGAGCATTCATCATGGCACTCACAGGAATATACGCTAAGAAGCAAACATTACCAAATGCGTGATTACTTTTAACTGTGATTATATACATATTATAAAGAGGTAAGAACCCTTTTGGTAATTTGAATTTATTTGACTTCAATTATATTTTAATTGTCTCAATTACAAGTGGGCTTCCGGTCAAAGCCTGCCCATCCAATTAAATAAAAATGAAGCAAAATAAAAATATGAAATAAATGTACTACATACTATCTAGAATTGCTTCCATCACAATTTTTAAATTTGTCTTGTGCTTTTCACCAATAGGCATCTCTTTGGAATATTACACATTTTTATCCATTAAAAACCTCCAACTTCAAATAATAGGAACCATGTTTTCAAAAATACTAGTCAGACTATTTGAGATAACTTTTATTACATTTCTATTTTTCTTATTTTGGGTTTCAATTTTTCCAAAATGTCTGGAAAGCATTTTCACTGAAAAAAAAAAAAAGGTTTTCTCTTGAGGACCACATAGCTATCTCTGAAAATACTGCCCTTCACTCTTCACAAACAAGCAAGAGTGTCATTTCTTCCCAACAGAGGGAGATAAAGGCAGCAAGTCCTGAGGGCAGGAGGATCCGATAGTGGCTTTGCAAGTGTAGTCAACTAAAACTTAGAAAACATCACCTACCAAGTTCACAAAGTTGTGAAGACTGAGGACAAACCTGAAGTAGGTAGCTGCATCACTGTAAAACCTGCAATGAGAGACGAGGAGGAGCTGGCGGAGGCAGGGGCTGAGCGGTGGAAAGAAGGGTGCGCACTGTGCTTTCAGGAGTCAAACCCAGCGAGCGGGAGAGGCTGGAGGCTCCCCCCCAACCCCCCACCCTACCCCCCCACACCCCCTCATCTCCAGTCCCCGAGAGCTCCCGAGACACTGGAAATAAACTAGTGCAAGACTCGGGTCATTCCCTCCCACCCCTCAGGTAGCAGGTACTGTGATGCTTGGATCAGAAGCTGCCCCAGAGAGCACCACTAACCTTCGCAGCGCCAGAAAGGCAGAGGCCGACTCAGGTGTGTGCCTGGGAGGACAACAAAGAACCATGGAAAGTGTTTCACTACTCCTCGTGGGGAAAATGGGAACCTCAGAGCTGAGAGATGGCTCCCAAGTTAGGAGCACTGCAGCTCTTGCAGAGGGCGGGAGTCAGTCCCCAGCACCCGGGCCACACAGCTCACAGCAGCCCGAAACTCCAGCTCTGGGTCACGAACACCCTAGTCTGGCCTCCGGGATCATACATACACATACATACATGCGCAGACACACAAGCAAGAACAGTGATACTTGCAGTGTTGATATGGCATGATTACAATCTGTTTTTGATACAGGGTCTCATGCTGCCTGGGCTGGCATCAAGCTCAGCAGCTCCCAATGCCACTAAAATGGATGAAGAGGCGATGAGGAGTCAATGGAGAGGCAAAGACGGGGAGCAGTGTTTCTTTTTAATTAATTAAAATTGAACTCAGGTGCTCAGGCTTGACAGCAAGTGCCTCTTAACCAAGCTATTAATTGTAGGCCTGCTTACACTTCAGAGGGTTGGTCTATCCTCATCATGGTGGGGGCTGAGAGCTACACATTGACCCACAGGAAAAAGAGCAACACTGAGTCTACTAAGAGCTTTTGAAACCTCAAGACTACCCCCACTGACACACTTCCTCCAACAAGGCCACACAGCTCCTGATCCTTCTCACACAGTGCCACTTCCTGGTGACTAAGCATCCAAACGTGTGGGCCTAGAGGGGTCATTCTTATTCAAACCACGACACCTAAACAATACTTAATGCTAAACTTATGTTTACATAAGCCTGAAACTCCAATATGCAGTGCCTACTGCAGTGGTTTAGTGAGAATGTCCCCCACAGGCTGAGATGTCTGGGCACCTGGTCCTCACTCATAGCACTGTCTGCAGAAGTGGCAGAGGTGTGGCCTCAAGTGTCATCACAGCAGACTTTTAGAGATTCCACACCACTGAGTCCTCTCTCCCTCTTCCTCGCGTTTACATCTGAAGATGTGAGCTCTCTGCTTCCTGTTGCCCCCACCATAAGTGCTACCTACCGGTTGCCACGCCTCCACTCTGCAGTCAAGGCATCTATCTTACCCCTCTGGAAATACAAGCTAAAACTAACATTCTTTCCAGCACGTTGCCTTTGGTCATGCCATTTTC